CTGGAACAAAATTGACTTCAGATTCATATTCAGCGACCCAAAAAACTCGCGAGTAACAAATTTTAAGTGAATTTAATCTATTTTTATTTTAATTTTCCGCCATATTAGATCCGCCATCTTGAATTTTAAAAAGTGCCACTTTGCTTTTCAAAATAGACGTAAATACCTAAAATTTGAGACCTAATTGAACTCTTTTCGTCCAAACCATTTTTGGGGGGAGCAATTCTCCCGTTGAGAAAGAATGCCCCAAATATAATTTTAAATTATTAGATTAAGTTACTTTAGGGATAACAGCATAATATTTTTGGAGAGATCTTATTGATAAAAATGTTTATGACCTCGATGTTGAATTAAGGTAAATATTAAAACGAGAGTTTTAATTATTAAGTCTGTTCGACTTTTAAAATCTTACATGATTTGAGTTAAAATCGGTGTAAGCCAGATTGGTTTCTATCTTTAATAAAATTTTTAATATTTATACGAAAGGACTTTATTAAAGGTTAATTGGATAATTTTTTTAATTTAATAAAAATAAATTAAATTTAAATTTAGTTAAAAAATAACATTAATATGTCAAATTAAAATTATTTTACAAAAAATAATTTATGTTTTAAATAGTTAAAAAAAAATTTAATATTGAAACTGAGATTCTTGACAATAACAATGAGATCAAGAAAAAAAACAAATTCATTAGAATTAAAATATGGAGCGTATTAAAGAATCTCATTTACACTTTTCTGACTATATAGACGTTCATTGACTTCACACGGTAAACGATGATCAATAATTTATTTAATCACAATCAGAAATCTTAAATTCCATTCATATAGATATAATGCAAGTCATTCGAGTTTATTGACTTCTATACCTATACGCAGATATTTATCACAAAAAACGTAATAAAAAAATTAACTTCAACAACAATAATAATAATATAAATTATAATATATCACAATATATTATTATAAATATTATTATAATTAGTATTAGTATTATTTTTTTTTTAATATTAAAAAACATTTTGGTCATTTTGAATTTTCAAATTTAAAAAAAAATTCTTATATTCATTGCGACTTATAAAAAAAAACCAATTATCTATATACGTTTTTAACCAAATAAATCAACTTTCAAAAATGTTGATCGACTTTTGAATTTTTAATTATACTTGATATGTCAGGTTTTTTTTTTATTTCTTTTGGAATTTATTTACTTTTTTTGGTTATAAAAAGACAGTTATCAGATATATAGTGAAAGGGGAAATTTAAACTAAGTTAAAATGATATTTATATATATGTATATCTTGAATTTATGAATATAGAAAATTGAAATTTCGTAATTCGTAAAGCCCGTTTGGATATTATTCATTATCAGGTCGAGAGTTGCTTTCTCCCCTAGATCACCATCAACTAAATAGTAGTCAGTGCATGTAATTAGACTCTTGACATTATTATTTATCTATATCCATTATATTTATATATTTGAAAATCTAGATGGTTGAAAATGATGTCTGTTAAAAATTTCGAAGACGAATCGCACAATATTCCTTTTGATGACCTTTCAAGTGTTATAAGATTAAATTCTCGTGACTCCTCTGAAATTTCTATATATAGCTTCCTAGATCAACTTTCTATGCCATTTTTTTTAAGTTTAATATTACTACTAAAAATAATCTAAAAAATACAATTACTTTCAAGTACCTCATGTACACATTAATAATATTTAATTTAGTTTTTGAATTGATTCGTATTTAATAAAAAAAATCATGTGCCAAAGTATATATTATTTTTTTTGGCAAAAAATTTATTTTTTTGAAAATTGCATATTTGTGGAATTAAATTTTATTGCCGTTAAATTTAATTTTTTTCTCAAATAGGATAAGTGCACCAATTACGGCGTGTTCATAAAAAAATAACTATTATTACTTTTATATTTTTTATAATTGTTTTAAAATGATTTAAAAAAATTATTTTAATCTTTTTTTAATACAATTACTAATAAAGATGCACATTTAAATAATTATTAATTTAATTATTTGAGATCAAATTTTTTTCCCTCGCCATAATTGAAACATTTTTAAGATTTCCATTGGCTTCAATTACAGTGGGCAAAGTATCTTTAAAATACATGTAATTTTCGTCACCGTATATGATACACCGAAACTGATACAAACGCGCCTTAATAAAAAAATTACGGTATTAGTTTTAATTTCTTATATTTGTTTAAATAATCGATTTTTATGAAGTTTAAATTTTTTTTGAAATCTAGAAAACAAGCTTTTAATTTGATAAGTTTTAAATTTACTTTATACAATAGAAATGTTGAATTTTCTATTTCAAAAGTGTTTTGACTTGAATCGCGCCGTAATTAGTGCATTTACTCTATATAATTTTTAAAAAATAAATTTTTTTTTTCAAAATATTAATATTTGGCACACAACAAGGAATTCTTATTTTATTTTCGAATTTTTGACTTTATCAATACTTTTAAGTATTTTCCAAGAAATGCTACGGAAAATATTTGCATGTAAAATCACAATAATCAAATGACCTTAAAAGTTGCAATTTAATATAAATTACAAAGGATTACAATTGAAATAATCCGGTTATATTATGACAGACGTAAACAAAAAAAGATTCTCTTACAATAAAATTTAATTACATTTTCTATACCTGCGTTTACATACCCCTACAGGTATATAAAATTTTATTATTGTAAATGAAAAAAAAATCCATTGATTGAAATTTCTGAAAAATTATATTTGAATATAATTATTATTATTATTTGAGCTGCTTCAACTTGTCAATAATTTAATTGAATTCCTAACTTTGCACAGTTTTTGTTTAATCAAATATTATATTTTAAAAAATAAGTGATTGCAAAATTTAAATACAAAAGAAAATGAAAATTGACGATTCCTTGTGGGTCTCGTGACGAGACAAATGCCGGAAATTTCAAACTGATGAGAAATAGAAGAAGAAAAAAATAAGAAGGATGTTGGAAATCAATGTCAGGTTACTTTGCCATGATAATTTATAAAATACAATTTAAAGACTATTTTAGATCAGAAAACCCGTTACGATTCGACGGAATAATAGAGCATTCTTGAAGGTTAACGTTTTGCAAGATTGTTTGGAGAGAAAGATGCGCACGAAGAAAAAACAAGAGTGAGTTCGATGCACCATCAGTATTATGCGCTAATAATAGCAAATATATATTTTTTATTGAAAAAATATTCATAAATAGATAATTCTGTATGTATTTTAGAAATTAATTTGAAAAAAATTTTTCTTTCACTTTTACCGGGCACAAAAATTATTCCCTCTTTTCGGAATTAAAGAAAAGCGAAATTTCAATTTTTTAAAATTATTTTACTCAAACCAAATATAATTTAAATGCGAAATAAAAAAATATATTTTTAGCAATATATATTTTTTTTATTTTTTTAAATATTCTAATAATTATTTATTTGTTTAAAATAAAAATTTTATTTTGTGCAAATTTTTTTTTTATTTTTTTAAATATTCTAATTATTATTTATTTGTTTAAAATAAAAATTTTATTTTGTACAAATATTTATTTAGCTATGGAGACAAATATATTTTTTTCTCGTGTAGAAATTATTAAAAATGTCTCAGAAATAAATATATTTGTTACCAATAATTTCAACTTTAATTAAAAATTTTATAAGCGTTAAATAAAATTTTATTTATTATATATTTTTATTTAATTCAAATAAATTTATAATTGATTTTATTTTAGTCGGACCTATTTTAGTCATTGTACAAATTAAATTGAAAATTAAAAAATTGAAAATAATAAAATAAATAAAAATAATAAATAAAAAAAATAAAATAAAATATAAAAATAAATAATAATATAATAAATAAATTAAATAACCATGGCAAATATAGACAAAAAAAAATAATTTGCCAAATGTAGTTTTCCAATCTGAATCAATAATATTTTTCATTGATTTAGATTTAGACTATAAACAAATTATTTACGTAATTATTGAACTTTTCTTCGGAAGATGAGGATTTAAATCTCCTCGCGACAACTGCGATATTTAAAATAAATCTATAGTCAGCGATGCGAAATGTTTTAAAACTCGCGTTGTAAAATAATATTAACCGAGTTAGTAGACAATGATCAACGATCTGAAGAAAAATTTCAATTATCTTCTCATTACAAGCTGTAAATTTCAATTAGTTTATTTATATTACAGTTAAATCCGTAATGTGTCATTGACTTGAAATAAAAAGGTAGATGAAATTCCATGAAATTCACAAAGTGAATCGAATCTAAATTTTAAATCAACGATTTAGAGAAAAAAAACAAGAATTTTTACCATTGCAATTATAATTTTTTTGTTTGAATTAAATTTTTTTCATTTCTCGATGAACAAATTTAATAATAAAAATTTCTAGCCAAAAAATTCCATACAATTTTATTATTTTTCGCGTAAAAAATATTTTTTTATTTTCAATCGTTGTAAACTTGACCGAATTATTTTATTATTTTGTATCATTTACACGAAGCTGAAGTACGCAACGATTTTTAAAGAAATAATTTTTTAAAATGAAAAATTCTATAATTTTTCTCCTAAAAAGTAATTTCTTGTAATTTTCATTAATCAACAAAATATAAAAAAAAATAATTTTTATGCAAAAAAAATATTTCTTTAAAAATCGTTCATCATAAACGTTGCGTACTTCAGCTTCGTTCATTTACAATAAAATTTCTTTACTTTTCTCTTTTTTTTTTGCAATTTATGCAAAAATTATTTATCAATTATGTTTACTAAATATATATTTTTTTTTACTTCAACCGTTTGTGAAAAAAAAATTGTCAGTCTCCTCAAAAAATACAATATAAACAAATATTAAAAAAATAAAATAAAAAAAAAGATGTAAAAAATAGAAAATTGTTTAAAAAATTGTTCTTTTTGATATTGAAAAGAATTGTTGAATATGTATACTAATAAATGTTTTCTTTTGCAGATTTCTGATATAGTTGTGGGCCAAGAGCCGAATGTAACAGCACGAGAAGCATTATTGAGATGGGCGAGACGTTCAACGGCAAGATATCCAGGAGTTCGTGTATCAGACTTTACAAGCTCCTGGAGAGATGGTTTGGCATTCAGTGCTCTTGTTCATCGAAACCGTCCCGATTTGGTCGATTGGAGGACCGCACGATCATGGCAAGTTCGCGAACGACTCGAGAGGGTCTTTTATGTTGCCGAGCGCGAGTATGGCGTTACAAGACTACTCGATCCGGAAGGTATTTATTTTTCTTTTCTCTATATATTAAAAATTATTCTAAACATAAAAAAAAATCTTTGATTATTTTATAAAATTTTATTGCCAAATAATCAAATGCTAAAAAGTTTCGAAAAAATTTTTAACATAATATATAATTATTAATATAAATCCAAAAACTTTATCTCTATCTAAAAGAAAATTTATAATATTTATTTTTCATTTTAAGTGATGGTGAGAATTTTTAATCAATTGGAAATTTACTTTTTTGAAAAGAGACTTAAGTTCAAAAATTAATTTATTCGAATTTTCATTTCACAGAATTTCATTACTTTGAATTTACTTTTAGTCGAATTTTTATTTTTTCGAATTATTATTTAACGGAAATTCCAAATTTATTTAAGCGAATTTCTATATTAGAGAATAGTTATTTAAACGAATTTTCATTTTATAGAATTTTGATTGCAACAAATTTGAATTTGATAAAATTTATAATTTACTGGAATTTTCATCAGAAATTATAATTTTGTTGATAACTTCTAATTGGTTAATTTCAAAATTTGCATCAAAATTTTTCTGTCAAATATTTTTATTCTGACAAATGAAAATTTTCGTAAAATAGAAATTCGGCGTTTTTAAGAATTCTATTAAATATAAATTTGAATAAATATGTGTCTAAAGTTCTGAACGTTCAACATTTTTTTTTGTTCTGTAAATTTTTTTTTAAATTACTACAACAATAAAAGATAAATTTTTTGATAGAAAAAAATTCTTTCTACCTATTATTTTTGTTTTGTAAAATGAAAATTCTTTTAAATAAATATTATGTCTAATAAAAGTTTGAGTAAATAATAATTCATTACAAATTCAAAGAAATACAAATTCTGTAAAATGAAAATTTCAGTAACAATTTTATAATAATGAAAATTTTAACAAATTAATTTTCGAGCTTATTCAGAAATTCTGCTAAGCAGTAATTACAAAAATTCTTCTTAGCAATAATGAGGTGAATTATTCTTTTAAAAATTCGGTTTAATTGAAATTTTACTAAATGCAATTTAAATTAAATTGAAATTCTGGTATATAAATAAAAATTCTCTCCTAGATAACAATTTAAATATACAATATAGAAATTTAAATTATTATTTAAATTAAAATTATTAATTTATTTAATTTTAATTATTATTTAAATTTAAACTACCTAATTTATTTAATTCAATTAAATATTAATTTAAATTATTTAAATATAGAACTTTGATTATATAAAAAAATTTTATTAAATGAAAATTCAGTAAAAAATCTATCATAAAAAATAAATTATTAGAATCAAATTCTAACGCGAGGAAATTATAATTTTATAAAAATATAAAATAATAAGGAACAAAAAAAATTCCTTTTCTTTTTGAACAATAGTAAAATTAAAAATTATATATCCATAACAAATTGATTTGATTCACATTTTCTTTCTATTGATGAACTTTATTCAACTTCGACAGAAGAGTGATTAGTTTTGAGAAAGGATTAAAAGGTTAAATCGATTATAAAAGTTGCCTAAAGTTCTTAAGGTTCAGGGAAAGGCAATAATTGTGATCACGATTGTTTGATGATTCTCGTGACGATCGCGGCAAAGAAACCTTCTTAAAGGTTGAATATCCCATCGAGATATATTTAATTAATTTATTTATATTTATAACTCAATCTTTTTTATTTTATTTTATTTATTCTCTCGAAATTTATCGCAAACCCGTTTTTTTAGTTTTAAATTCTTAGCCAACAATTTTTGTAGAAAATTTTTTAAAAAACTACTTGAAACTAATATTTTTTTAATATTTTTTGTAATTTTTATTTTTTGCACTATACGTAATTTTTTTTATTTATTTTATATTTTCTAAATTTTTTCTAATTCTAATTTACTTTCTCAGTCATTAATTAATCAAATGAATTTGCATTCATAATTTAATTACTATTAATTACACTATTTTCCAGTATAAAATTGATTGATTTACTATTATATTGAAATAGTAATTAAAAAAAGTGGTTTGTGATTTATTTAATGAAATAATTAAAAGGAGGCTTTTCTCGTCAATTTCAATTTTATAATTGGAAATAACAAATTTGCATTATTGCTTATTATAATTTTCTCTCTTTTGAATGATAAATTGATGTGATCTTTATAATAAGCGATATATTCTCCCCCCTGATGATGAAGTATATAATTAGTGATATTTAGTATAAAAGATAAAATTACTACTCTTTAATTTGTTCCTTTTTTTTTATTTACATTCATCGCGGCTATATAATGTCTCAATAGAAGGATCGTTTTTAATTTGCTTATTTAGATATATAAATAATAATATGTAAAACTATACTTGCAATTTTTTTTCATATTGGAGTGACGAATCGGTGATTTTAACGCAAGGATAATTTGCAGTTTCAATTACGATATAAACAGAACGTTTATTTTATAATAAAATGTTCAGTTTATTACTAAACGTTTCAATTGTAGCAATTTCACATCTTTTTTTTTTTGCTCTCTGTTTATATTAGTTTTATAATAAACGCGTGAGTCATAAATATTTTAAAAAAAGCTACTGAACAATTTCAAAATTTATTTATTTTAAGCTATTTAAAAAAAGGGTTAATAATTTCGTTTTTAAATAATTACGATATTATTTAATTTTAAAAAATGCGTTTTAAAAAGTCGGATTTTATTTCGAATTTAAAATGCAAAAAAAATGTTTTATTATATGAGAGAATAAAAATTGTTGGTAGTAATTTTTTTTTTCTTTATTATATAATTTGAGAGTTTTTTTTGAGACCGGAGACGTGAAATTCACATAAATCTTGAATCCTGATGTGCTAGATATTAGTATACACCTGGCTTGGCGTGTTTGTTGCCTGTAGATATATATATGCAGTCTTTTTGGTCACGGTGCTCGGTATCGTTTCCGGTCGACTCGCAAACCGTGATACCGCGTGTATATAGCACTTTATATACATATAGTTGCCACTAACTTTCAGTATATATACGATATAGGTATTCCCATTGTTCAAACAATTCAAATAATTGGAATTTAGAACAATTGATATGAGATCAGCTTCCTTTACACTGCCTCAAAGACATTTTTAATCATTTAAACTCGTGAGGAAAACAATGTTTTTGTCTCAATATTTATTTTTGGTTCAAATGAAAATTTTATTTATGTCAAACATTTTTTTTTTTTGTATTTGAAACAAATAAATTGTTTATTTGAGTCTGAGACAAATTTATTTTTAATCAAAATTTATTTAATTTAAATTTAAATAGCAAACATTATAGAGAATTAATAGTAACAATTAAATTCAAAAATTCATTAATAATTTTTTTTTATTTTTCCAAATTTTGTTGCAAATTTGTTTTTTCAATTAGCAGAATTCGGAGAGAATAAATTTTAATAATTGAACTCGAAATTCATTAATTACTTTTACATTTTTCGAAAATTTTTTTTGTCAAATTTGTTTTTTTTTTTTTAATTATCAAAATTTAGGGAGACTGGAAATTCATTAATTCCTTTTTTTTTAATTTTTCGAAATTTTCTGTCAAATTTGTTGTTTTTTTCAATTAGCGAAATTTAGAGAGAATAAATAAAAAGTCTCTTCTCAATAATAAATAAACACAAAATTCATTACATAATTTCTTTTTCATTTTTTCAAATTTTTTTGTGAAATTTGTTTTTCAAAATATAGATAAATTGAGAGAGAATAAATTTTAATAATCAGTTTAATATTCTTAATTATTTTTATTTTATTAGATTTCTTGTATTTAGTCTATCGCTATAAATAAACGATTATCATATTTGAAATCGCAAAATTATAAACGAGATTCAAAAGAGTAGAAATCAATTACCCGAGGAAATTTTATTCGTGCTTCTTAAATATAGAAAGCAATATACTTAATTATTCTGACAAGAAAGTTGTAACTCGTTTATAAAAAAAAAAAGAAGAAGATTAAGATATCTTCCATTGTCCTACTTTTTATACAAAAAAAAAAAAAAATACAAAGAGTTGTGTCCATTAGCGATCAAATCACTGAATCTCTATTCACAATGGTTTTCAATTGGTGAAGACTCGATTCATAAATATAAAAGGAGAATCCTTGTATGTAGCAACTGACAAGAAACAAAGCAGGGTAATCCCCTTTAATACAGAGGATGAATGCCGTTTATAAATTATTATTCGTGATCGTTTTGAATGCGTCAAAAGGAGAATTCCCTTCCGCATCTTGGAATCACGTTATTCATAGATATAGTTATACGAATGTGGTTTATCAATAAAATTCAAAAACTACTGTTAGAGATAATGACCACCATGAAGTTGAGATCATTGCAATACACCGGGAGCAAAGTATAACTCTCTCAGTTATTTTTCTTTTTTTTGAAAATATTGTATAAAATGAAAAATGTATGAAAATACATTTGAAATTTCATTTCAGAATTTTCTAATTAGAATTTTTATTTCAAATTATATTACGGAATTTTTAATCAATTATTGAATTTTTATTTGAAAAATAATTTTATTTACCCCGATTTTTCATTTAGCACAAATTTTGTTTAACATAATTTCAAATAATGTGAATTTTTATATTTATTTTTCTTGAAAAAAATGTAAAATATAAATAATTTTCAAATTTTTTAATTTCCAGAAAAATTACATTTATTGTAACTCTAATTTTAACAATTAAAATAATATAGAAATTTAAAAAATAAAACGAAAAAAAATTATTATAAAAAAATTCAAGAATCCAATTTTTGTATTGAATATTGAATAATATTTTTTTTATTTATTTTCAGATGTCGATACCCCCGAACCGGACGAGAAGTCATTAATAACGTACATCTCATCGCTTTATGACGTATTCCCTGAGCCACCATCAATTCATCCACTTTATGATGCTGAGGCACAGAGACGTTCAGCGGAATATCGTGAACTTGCAAGTTCTCTTCATTGTTGGATAAGAGAGAATATGGCCCTAATGCAAGAGAGATCCTTCCCACCAACATTAATTGAAATGAAAAAACTCGCAGCCGATAGTGCCAAGTTTAAAAATGACGAGGTACCACCACGTTATCGTGATAAACAACGATTGACACACATCTTCAGAGATTTACAAAAATATTTTGAAGCTGTTGGTGAAATCGATATGGAACAAGAATTACACATTGATATTATGGACAAAAATTGGAATCGGCTTATTATGCTTCATCAGGAGCGCGACCAAGCGATTCACGACGAAATTAAACGGTAAGTTTTCATTTTTTTTTAACAAATTTCATTTTATTTATACAGCAAGTCCCGGATTAAACGACTTTTTCGACTTTTTTTTACATTTTTCAAAACATTTTTAAACAAATTAAGCCTCTTTTAGAATACAATGCAGATTTTCTTTGGATATTCCTTAATATTAATATTAATATTTGTTATGTTTGATTTTTACAGCCTCGAACGACTACAACGACTCGCTGAAAAAGTTCATCGAGAGATGAAATCGACCGACAATCGTTTGGAAGAGCTGGAGAGACGCGTGGAGGATGAGTCTCGACGATTGGATCGTTTACATCCATTAGAAGCGAAACATTCAGTTGATTTACTTGAACAAGATATTCGCAATACCGAGATTCAAATTCAAAATATTTTCACTGACGTGCACACTCTTACGGAAGGCAGGTACAGCCAAGCTCCCGAGCTTCACAAAAGGTGAGTCATAAAAACAAGCAAAAAACCATTATTATTATTTAATTTATTATCACAAATGATTTTTTCAATTTATTTATTTCTAAAACGTTTGTTTAAATTTTTAATTGAAATTTGTTTGTTATTTTTATAATTTAATTTATTTTTTTTCAATTATTATTTAAATGAGACTTGTAAATATTTTCTATGAAACTCAGTCAAATTTCTATTTCGCCAAAGTTTCCTAAGGTATAGAATTAATATTAAACCGAATTTTTACACTAAATAACTTTTATTTAACAGAATTTTTACTTAACCAAATTTTTTTATGGTAAATTCTTCAGTTGACAAAATATTTATTCAATACAAATTTTTATTTCACAGAATTTAGACCTTTAACAGAATTTCCCTAAAAAAGAGAATTTATATATTTAAAAGAATATCTATTTAACGAAATGTTTATTCATTCGAATTTATATTAACTGCAATGCTTAGTGAATTAAAAATTTTATGTAGCAGAATTTTTATTCGACAAAATTTTCATTAAACAGATTTTTTATTTAACACAATTTTTATTTAATAAAATTTTAAATTAATTCGCCGCTATGAAAAATTCGATTCATTGAAATGGAAATTCTGATATTTTAAAAATTCACTGCTTTAAAGAAACTGCTTCATATAAAAATTCAGCAAAATAAAAATGCGTTGAAATGAATATTTTCTTTAATTAACCTTTATTGCAATTAAAATGATGTTGAATCGACATTATTTTAAATGGAAATTCGATTAAATTGATAGTTCAATTACATAAATATTCGAAAAACTAGAAATTCGATTAAATAAAATTATGTTAAAGGAAAAATTCAGTAAAATTTTTAAAAGGAAAATTCATTGAATTGGATAAACTGCTAAATAAAATTTCGTTTCAGTAGAAATTCTGCTATAAAATAAGAAATCGGTTAAATAAAAATTCTCAGGTTTAAAAATTCGATTTGAAATAAAAATGATGTCTAGTGAAAATTTTTTTATAATTAAAATATGTGGCAAATAGAAATTCTGTTAAAAGTAAATTAATTTAAATAAACATTTAATTAATGTGAATATTCGAACAAGAAGAAATTGGATTAACGAAAAATTCTACTAAATTGAAAGTCATTTTTATGAAAATTCTATTAAATTAGAGAATCTGTTTTATAAAAATGTGGTTAAATAGAAAGTCTTTTGAATAAAAATTTTTTGCCATGAAAATTCGTTTTTATAATAAAAAATTATGTTAAATAAACATTCTAATAATCAGAAATTCGTTGAACTAGATAATTTACTACTACATAAAATTTTATTTTACTAGAAATTCTGATAAAGAAAAATTCGGTGGAATAAAAATTCTACTGTACGAAAATTCGGTTAATTAAAAATTATGTTGAACGTCAATTTGGTTAAATAAAAATTCTCCTCAGGTATAATTCTAGATAAATTGGAAATAGATTAAAGAACAATTTCATTTTATAGAAATTCGGTTTAATAAAAATTCTTCGATATGAAAATACTCTTAATTATATAAATTCTATTTTATAAAACTCAGTTAAATAGAAATTCATTCATTTCATCAACAAAAAATTAATTCAGTCTCATAAGGTGTAAAAAATATTCATGTGTCTCAATTATTTATTAAAAGAAAAAAGAATTAATCATTCTTTGCTTCAAAAGTTAGTTTTTTTTGTAAAAATAATAAAATCAATTTTTCAGACTCGTAAGTTTTAGAAAATATTCATCTGTCTCTTATTTATTTAATAAAGGAAAGAAAAAAATGAACACAACTATTATAAAAAAAAAAAATAAATTATAATTATTCTTTGCTTCAAAAATTAATTTTTTGAGAAAATAAAATAATCTTTGCCCCTTTTTTTACAGAGTACAAAAATTACATCAACGTTGGGTGGCGCTTCGTTCACTCCTTCATAAACGATTAATACAGCCTCTCTCCTCTGTTTCCTTCCCTGTCGAAGAACAACGCGTAGTAACAAAACTTCGCACAACCGTCCATGAAACACGATTGGTCGACACCAATCCACTATTTCGCGCCGTTCACGATTGCATTGAATGGTGTAAAAATAAACTCAAACAATTACAAGAAGCTGAATATGGCTCTGATTTGCCTGGTGTTCAAACTGAGCTTGATATACATCAACGTGAACACAAAAATATTGAACAATTTCATTCAAAAGTTGAAAAATGCATTCAAGTCAGAACTAATTTTCAGGGCGAGGAACTTACGCTTTATAGTCAACAACTTAGTATTTTGCAGAAACTTTATGCCGAACTATTGGCAATTTCAAATAAACGACTATCCGATTTGGATACACTACATGATTTCATTCAATCGGCAACTGGTGAACTTGTTTGGTTAAATACCAAAGAAGAGACAGAAGTCACACGCGATTGGAGTGAGAAAAATTTGAATATACAGAGCATTGAACTGTACTACGAGGTATGTCATTTTTATGTTATTAGTCATTTTCTTAATTTTGTTTTTTTGTCTTTAATTATCTGCGAATTGTTTTTAGAACCTTTAAAATCGAGTTTTTTTAACTAAAGAGTTTAAAAAAAAAAATTTTATTTACTTCTACAAATTTTTTTTACATTTTTCAATTTTCTGATTTTTATCATTTTGAAAATTGGTTAAAAATTAAAATTTGATGAGCCTCAAGTTCTGAACGTTCAAATGAACAAAAAACTTGTTTCTTATCTTCAAATTTTATTAGAAATATTGGTTTCTGCATTCAAAAATAAATTAATAATTTATTAAATCTTTAATGTACTTTTTTATTCTTTATTTCTGTAATAATTTTTTAAAAATTTATAGACTATAAAAATTATTTCGTTCATTTGAACATTTAGAACTTTAGAAACATGAAATTTGATTATTATTCATTTTACATCGTATTTTGTGATACAAGTTTTAATTATACTTTAATTGTAAATTTCTCTAAATAATTGATTATAATTAAAAATAATTACTTATGATTGATTATAATAATAATAATTATTATTATTATTATTATTATTAGTTAATTAAAATAATTCTAAGACTGAAAAGTGAAAGAAAATGTTTCTATTTTTTACTTTCTTTTAACAAGCAAACATACGGATCAGGAATTGAGGTAAATTATCATTAAAATTAAGAAAAATTTGTGCACGATTAAAAAAGTTATTTGCAGTTATGAAAATAATTTTCTTTACTTTTTTTCTATATTTTTTTCCATTTTTAAAATTAAATCTAAAACATTTGTTTGTTTGACATAATTTTCATTTATCAAAATTTTTTTTAAAACAGAATTGACATTTAATAAAACAGAACAAATTTCGAAAATATCAGGGAAAAGCACAAAATATTGTCTGAAAGTCAGGAAAAATTATACAACCCTGAAAAAAATATTAATTTGTATAAAGTAAAAATATAACATTAATTTTAATATTTGTAATGTTTATTTTTTGAAATATAATTGAAAGTGAATTAAATTTTTACAGTCGTTGATGAGCGACCTTGAGAAACGAGAGATTCAATTCTCGGCAGTTCAAGATCGTGGTGAGGCTCTACTTTTGCAACATCATCCAGCAGCAAAGACAATTGAGGCATACATGTCGGCAATGCAAACGCAATGGGCATGGCTTTTACAATTGACATTATGCCTTGAAGTTCATCTTAAACATGCATCGCAGAGTCAACTATTTTTCAAGGAAATACAACAAGCCGAACAGTGGATTTCAAAGAAGGACGATATTCTCAATACTGTTTATTCACAGTCAGATTTCTCGCTTGACGAGGGTGAACGACTACTCAAAGGAATGCAAGAGTTGCGCGAGGAATTGAACAATTATGGTGATCATGTTCAACGACTTGTTGATCAGGCAAAGGATATTGTGCCAATGAAACAACGACGACAACCAGTCACAAGACCTCTTCAAGTCACCTGTATTTGTACCTACAAACAAGTTAATGTAAGTTTCTTAACATTTTTATATTTTTTTTCTTTTTTTTTCTATTCATTTTCTTTTACGTCACAATTTTCATTATCTTAAAGGGAGAAGGGTACAAATTTTAACACACTGAAATTTAAGTTGGGGATTTTTTTTCTTTCATTCTTTAGGATCTAAAATTATTGTATTTTATTAGAATTTTATTAACATTTTTTTAAAACCATTTCAGAAGTTTTATTTTAAAAAAAATTGAAATTTTATTAGAATTTTATTAACATTTTTTTAAAACCATTTCAGAAGTTTTATTTTCAAAAAAATGGAAATTTTTATAGGATTGATTGTTTAGTATCATAAAAAAGTTTTTTAAAAAAACAGCGATGAAAAGTAGAATTTATGAGACGCACGTGTATTGCCAAAAAATTATCAGTTCTAATTTACAGTGTTTCGACATTTATATGGTCAAATTTTTATTTAATCGAATTTTTAATATTATTAAATCGAACTTTTATTTAACAAATTATCTAATTTGACAAATTTCTAATTATTAGAATTTTCATTTAACAGAATTTATAATTAATAGGATTTATATTTAGCAGACATTGTACCTTTTCAAATATTTACTTTAAAGAAGTTTAAAAAAAATTTTCTAAAATTCTCACTTTCAGGGAAACTCCAACATAATTTAACCGAATTTTCTTTCAACAGAATTTTTATACTAACGAATTTTCATGGCAAAAAAATTTTATTTAAAAGAATTTCTATTTAATCACATTTTTATAAAACAGATTCTCTAATTTAATAGAATTTTCATAAAAATAACTTTCAATTTAGTAGAATTGTTCGTTAATCCAATTTCTACTTGTTCGAATATTCACATTAATTTAATGTTTATTTAAATTAATTTACTTTTAACAGAATTTCTATTTGCCACATATTTTAATTATAAAAAAATTTTCCAATAGACATCATTTTTATTTCAAATCGAATTTTTAAACCTGAGAATTTTTATTTAACCGATTTCTTATTTTATAGCAGAATTTCTACTGAAACGAAATTTTGTTTAGCAGTTTATCCAATTCAATGAATTTTCCTATTAAAAATTTTACTGAATTTTTCATTTAACCTAATTTTTCTTTAATCGAATTTCTAGTTTTTCGAATATTTATGTAATTGAACTATCAATTTAACCGAATTTCCATTTAAAATAATGTCGATTCAACATCATTTTAATTGCAATAAAGGTTAATTAAAGAAAATATTCATTTCAACGCATTTTTATTTTGCTGAATTTTTATATGAAGCAGTTTCTTTAAAGCAGTGAATTTTTAAAATATCAGAATTTCCATTTCAATGAATCGAATTTTTCATAGCGGCGAATTAATTTAAAATTTTATTAAATAAAAATTGTGTTAAATAAAAAATCTGTTTAATGAAAATTTTGTCGAATAAAAATTCTGCTACATAAAATTTTTAATTCACTAAGCATTGCAGTTAATATAAATTCGAATGAATAAACATTTCGTTAAATAGATATTCTTTTAAATATATAAATTCTCTTTTTTAGGGAAATTCTGTTAAAGGTCTAAATTCTGTGAAATAAAAATTTGTATTGAATAAATATTTTGTCAACTGAAGAATTTACCATAAAAAAATTTGGTTAAGTAAAAATTCTGTTAAATAAAAGTTATTAAGTGTGAAAATTCGGTTTAATATATTAATTCCGCATTAGAAAACTTTGGCTAAATGGAAATTTGGCCTTATAAAATTCGATCTTTTGAAAATTTACTATTGAATTTTAAGAATTATTTATCCGTTCAAATAATATAAGGTCAACTATTTTTATGAATAAAATGCCACTTAAAACGTAAGAATTATTAGAACTAAAAAAACTTCTTTAATTTTTATAAACAGATAAATTCTAAATAATTAATTTTAAAATATCTTTATTTTCTGTGTTTAAATATTTGTTTCGCTTTTCTAAATTTTTCATCTAATTTGTATTGTTCTTGTGTTTTTCTTTTTTTAATTTTTTTGTCACTATAATGACACTGATTTTTTTATTTTCAATTTTTACATTTTCAAACTTTTAATATTATCAATTTTCAAATGTTTAACTTTTCTTTTTGTTTACATATATTTAGTAATTATTTTAAAAATTTTGTTCTTCAATTTTTTTTATTTATTCTCATGTTTTTTTTTTAAGTTTCAATGTCTTTATTTTTCCATGTTTTCAAATTATTTAAAAGAAAACATTTACACAGTTTGTAATATTTTTCATCGATCATTTTTTTAAACACTTTTTTGATCATTCCAAACAATTAATCGTATGAATTTAAAAAAATTTATTTTTTTCATAAAATAAAATTTCTAAACAAATTTAAAGAAAATATAAAAAAGCCAAAAATGATTTTTCTTCAATTTTCTATAATGGAATATGATTCTAGATTTGAAAAAAAGGTCGATAAAATATTGACAACTCTGCATAATGTAAATTTTGATTAAATTGAAATTTCACTGATAATTTTTTAAAAATTGAACTTATATAATTTTCATAACATTTTTTGTCACCATTTTTTTTTTTACATTTTTTTCTTATGATTTTGAACAAATCAATTGTATGATTAAAAAAAATTTTTTCATTTTTCCAAAAAACAAAATTTAGGAAATATCATTCTTGCCTAATAAAAATGAAAATTTTAATTAAAATTTCAGTGCTTTCCTCCTCTTAAATACGAGAATATCAAATTTTGACTGTCCTTCCAATTATCTCTTGAAAAATAAAAAACATTATAGTTATATTTTCCATTTTATTAAAATTTTGCGTTGGAGAATTTTACAATAATTGAATTTGAAAAATGTGTTTACAAAAATAAATTTGAAGATTAAAATGCGAGTTTTATAAAAGTGAAGTTAGATGCATTAAACGAATTCAAAAATTGCGAACGAAAGAGTTAATTTTACTTTTAAAAATTTTTTTACAGATGTCAATCGACAAGGGAGAGCAGTGCACTCTCTATGACAATTCAGGTCGTGTAAAATGGCGTGTAAAAAATTCACAAGGTGTCGAATCACCCGTACCAGGAGTGTGCTTCGCTCTTCAACCACCAGACAAGGATGCTCTTGACGCTGCCGAACGTTTACGACGACAATACGATCGTAGTGTCGCACTCTGGCAACGTAAACAATTGCGTCTACGACAAAATATGATATTTGCCACAATCAAAGTGGTCAAGAGTTGGGATCTACCACAATTTTTGGCAATGGGTCAAGATCAAAGAACAGCCATTAGAAAGGCATTGAATGAAGATGCGGACAAATTATTGTCCGAAGGCGATCCAGCTGATCCACAGCTTCGTCGTTTGAAACGCGAAATGGCCGAGGTGAATCGTCTTTTTGATGAATTTGAAAAACGTGCACGCGCCGAAGAGGAATCAAAGAATGCTGGACGTATTTTTAACGATCAAGTATCAGCGCTTCAACAAAAACTCGATGATGCCGAGCGTGTATTGAATTTACGTATTGCCTCATCGTTGCCACGCGATCTTGATAGTCTCGAGCATATGGTACTTGAGCATAAAGATTTTGAGAATACACTACAACGTCTTGAACCCGATATTGAACAAGTGCAACAAACATTCCGTGGTATAACACTAAAAACACCGGCAATGAGAAATAAACTTGACAATGTCATGACAAAATGGACACATCTTTGGAATTTGAGTAATCTCTATATTGAACGTATGAAATGTGTTGAAATTGTACTTTCTGGCTTAGAGGATAATACAGCGGTGATATCAGAATTTGAATTAAAATTGGCATCTTATGGTGAATTACCAGCTGATTTGAAGGGTTTACAAATTGTTCTCGATGATTTAATGACATTGCAAACGGCAATATCACAACAACAATTAAGTATGGATCAATTGAATGACGATGCACACAATGCACGACGTCTTGTTGAAAAATCACGACCAAATCATCGTGGACCACATGGCGATATGGATCGATTAGATACGGAAGTTAATCGATTAAATTCACGATGGGCCAATATTTGTGGACAATTGGTTGATCGTTTGCGAAGCGCTGAAACTGCCTATGGACTCGCTCAACAATATCAAAATGCCTATCAAAATGAAGTTGATTTTGTTGATGATGGTTACAGTCGACTCGAGTGCAAGTCTGGAGAATTGGAGGTAATATTTTTTCGATTTTTATTTTATCTTTTTTTTTTTATTATTTTTTCGTTGAGAGGTAATATTTTCAATTGTATTTTTCATTTGTTGATGTTTTTTTTGTGAGAAAAAAAAAATTTTTAGAAATGGGAAGAATTGAAAATGAATAGTTATGGTAAAAAAAAAAGAATTGGTTAATTTTAAAAAGAGGTCAAAAAAATATCTTCTAAAATTCATTTGATAGAATTTTTATGCAACTGAAATTCAGGTCTATTTAACTTCTATTTAAGTGAATTTTTAATTAGAAAACATTTTTATTTATTTCTATTTCTATTTAACAGAATTTCTTTAAAGCAAAATTTGCATTTAACGTTATTTAACAGAAATTAAGTTGAATTTCTATTTTTAAAAAAATTTTATTTAAACGAATTTCTAGTGAAATTTTTATATACTTAGCAGAATTTTTTTTTATAGATATTTTATTGTATTTCCATTGACCAGTTATCGAATTTTTATTCAAATTTTTTAGCACAATTTTTATTTTAATTTATATTTAACCGAATTGCTAGCTAAATTTTTATTGGGCAGAAATTCTACGATGGAAAATTTTTATTTAACAAAATTTGTATTTTTCCAAAATTCTTTCTAGCCAATTTTTTATTTTAATGAAATTTTAACAGGATTTTTATTTAATATTTAATCATATTTCTATTTTACCGAATTTCTAATAGAATTCTTATTTAGCTAAATTTCCATTAAGTAGAATTTTTATTTAAGAAAATTCTTATCTAATTTAATTTTTACTGAAATATTTTTTTATTTAGCAAAATTGTTATTTCATCGAATTTATAATTAATCGAATTGCTAACTAAATTTTTGGGCAAAGAAAATTTTTTATTGAACAAAATTGGTTTTTTTATTGAAATATATATTTACTTACTCAAAATTTTGAATGAAAAAATTTCTATTTCACCCAATCTAACTTCAATTTAACAGAATTTTCATAATTGTGACTTGGAAAATAAATTTTGCTACTTAAGAAATAGAAATTCTTCTATTTTAAATTTTTAGCAAAGAAAAAATCCTATCAAGTGAAAATTATTTGAAAAATAAAAATTTATTTGACAAAAAATTTAGATAAAAAAAAAGTGGAATTGAATAAAAATAATATTAAATTAAAATTTCCGTTACTTTACAAAATATTTATACAATTTAATGATGATTTGGCGAAATAGAAATTTAACCATTAAAAATTCAGCTTTATGAAAATTATTATTTTCAATAAAAATTTCGTTAAATAAAAATACAGTTACAAAAAAAAATTCTACTAATTAAAAAATCATTTGAATAGAAATTTTATAAATATATAAATTTAAATAGAATTTCATTTAATTAAAAGTTCTATTAAACAAGAAATTGGTAATTTTAGGAAATATTAATGTCATTATTTTAAAAATTAATTGGCGAAAAAATGAGTTTTTGAAAGTTTTCAACATTTCTCTTTATTTTTTCTATTAAAACAAATCATTTAACATAATTAAATTTAGAAAAATTAAAAACTAAAAAAATTAAAATTAGAAACATTTGATAATTAAGGTGAATTAAAATTTCAGGTATTGCTGCAAAAAGTAACCGAACGTGGTCCAGCGATCGAGTGCGTGAATTTGACAGGAGGACGATTGATTCGCGAGGGCAAGGTAAGATAAAATTGTTGAAAACGAAAAAAAAAATTTTTAATATTGAAATAGTTTTTTGATATAGTCATTGTTGTGAATGTTTGTATGAGTGGAATTTTAGTCTTAGAAAGTAGAAACGACGCATACCAATTATTCATCATTTAAAAAAAATGATCCTACGTAATTATTTTCCAATAAGTTCTCTTTCAGCGGTCATCGACAAAAACAAAAATTTTAAAAAAAAACACACAAATTACCGAAAAAAACAACGAAATCAGGATGTTACAATTTTTTCTGGTAATTTATATATATATTCTATTTTTTTACATTCTCATCACACATGAGAAGGTAAATAATAATTTTTGTTCTTTAAATCTAATTGATAAAATAATAATTGTAATTTTTCTTTCTCTCTCGTAACCATATTAAGCCTTCGGTTACTCTTAATCCAATTAACTCCAAATATTTAATTTCGATTTGAAAAAAAAATATATCAAATCATAATATTGTAATTTTAATCACGTCGGAATTAATTAATTAATTAGTAAATTAAATAATTAATTCATTTATTGTTGCGTCTTGATCATTCGATTAGCAAATTAGTTTTGTTAATTATGGATATAGATTGTATTTTTTTTTATTTAAATTAATTATTTTTTCAATGTTGTTATATTTATTTATATAGTCATTGAAGAAATAAAATATCCATGACTGACAATTTAGTTGAATGATAAAATTTAAGAATTGAAATCTAAAGAAGCTTTTGGCCTTTAGTTTTGCAACTCGAATCTTAAGATAACTCAGTGTGGTATTTATTTATCAGTAGGAAAATAACTTAATTAACAAACAAAACAAATAATTATAACCAAAAATAAAAAATTCATTAGTGACAATTTTTAAAATAAATTTTAGTAGGTTTTTTCAATTTTTAATATCACAAACATGGCTTCTTAAATAATAATATATGAAATTAATTTTTTTAATATCTATTTAATAGCTAAGATTCGTAGTAAGATAATTAATAATAATTAATCATTTTTGTATTGATAATCGACGGCTTATTCAGCTAAACGATAATTTTTAACATCTTTCGTTTCATTTCACTGTTATTTCTTGTTAGATTTGTTTTATTTTTTCATATAGCAAATCCTTGGATTTATTTTTAAATCTGAGGACATTTAATTTGAATCAGATTGAAATTTGAAGATTTAAAAATTAAAAATCCGAGGACTTTTAGAATTTAAAAATGAAAGTGAAATGAAAGAAAATAAATTGTCGATTGTACCACATTGAGTTACCGAACGTTATCGAGATTCATCCCTCAATTCGAGAGAGGGTTTTTTTTTGCTTATAATATGACACATGCTTCCGGCGGTAAAAGGTAGTGTTTCATCAATTTAATTCTGTACTAACCGTAACGGACTAACCGAAAACCTTTAGATTTATGGCCAGCGACTCAGGGCATTCAAGGAACAATTGGAGGAAGTTTGTCCATCGCTCGACGCATCCGTCAAAAGGCCACGAAAGGAATTTGAATCGACAGTGGACAATATTGCACGTGATCTTGATACACTCAACAGGAGATATACAACTCTCGTCGGTCTTCTTCAAGATCGCGTGCGCAAATCAGGATCATCATCACTCGACGATGCCTCGCTTCAGGTGAGTTATCATTTTTTTTTTTGTAAAATTTTTTTGTTTTAAATCCTACAATCTTAATATTTTCACTATATAAAGGTCTCGGATTGTACGACTTTTTTTATTATACAATACGGCTCTTCCAAAATTTAATTACTTAACAAATTTTTAACTAAAATTCTTTGCTAAATTTATTATTTTCAATAATTTAAAAAATCCTTTAAAAATTTAATTATCTAAAAATGTTTTTTTAATTAGTAAATGTAAATAGTGTAGTGTAAGTATAGCTGTATCTGGACAGTAACAAATATTTTGTATTGTCAAAGAAATAAAATTTTGTTCTATTCTATTATATTCAATTTTTTAATTCAATATTTTTAAAAATTCTGTAAAATTTAATTATTCACAAAAATTAAAAAAAATCAGTAGTAATTAAAATTTTCAAAAATTTCAAATTGAAATCTTTTGAAATTTAATTTTACTTCTAATAATTTTAGTTTTAAAACCTTTTGAAATTTAATTATTTTTAAAATTTTCAATATAAAACTTTTTGAAATTTAATTATTTCCAAAAATTTCAATTATAACTATTCCAAAATTCAATTATTTAAAAAAAATGTTATCTTAAATTAATTATTAAATTATGGTAAAAAACTCATTTCCATCAAATTCTTCGAATATTGAATTATTTAAAACATTTTTAATTAAAAATTCTTTAAAATTTAATTATTGGCTAAAATTTTATTAAATTATTTAAAAAAGTTTCAAAATAAAACCTCAAAAATTTCAATTGTCAGAAAAAAATAACAATAGTTATTTCAAATAAAATATTTATTAACTAATTAAATTTATTAAAATTAAAAAATTGATTTTTTCAACTTTTCTTGAAATGTAAATCCGAGGCCTGTTTATATATTCCATTATATTTAGACCAAAGTCGTTGTCGACTAATTTTTTAAAAAAATTAATTAATTACAAAACTTAAATTGAAAGTAATATAAATTGATAAATATTTATAAAAAAAAAATTATTGATATTATAATTTTTTTTAGAATTAGTCAACAACTTTCATTGGAAATATAATGGATTGATCGTATAATAATTATGTACTTTATTAAATCGTCGCGTTAATTATTAATAATCTTCGATTTTTATCTCTCAGTCCATTTTTCATTTCTAGAAACAGATAATATTAATTGCTAAGAGATGCACTTTATCGGCTTAGGGTTATTTGATTATAATTTTTATTGATCGTAAAAAAAGTATTTTTTTGAAATTGATTTTTTTTCCCTCCTTTATTTTTCTACTTTCCAACCGTATTATTGGAAAGTGTCCAAAATTTCTTTTGAAATGAGACATTTCGATTTTGTGCAATATTGGGCTTTTATTTATATTTCAACACAATATTTAAACATCGGTGCGATTAAAATGAACTAGACTTTTGAAAAACTTCCAAGAATTTCGAGGTTTTTTTTTTTTGTCTTTTTTAAATTCAATTAAGTTGATTTCAAGAAACAATTTTTTCCTGAAACATAATTTAAAAAAGAAATCGAAATGAAAAATGAAAATAATCAAATTTTTGTCTTTATTGTATTTTTTTACTTTCTTTATTTTCATTTAGTATCTTTATTTTGAAAATTAATTCTAATTTTTATTTAATTTTTTAATTATACGTTTTAAAATTTATTAATTTTGGAATAGAAAATAAATATTAGAAATTTTAAAGTTTCAATTGAAAAATGAATTTTTAATGAAAAGTTTGAGAATAATATTTGAGAAAAATTTTTTTCTTCCTTTTTTGTTCTTGAGGGAAAGTAAATATAAAATTTTTTAACAAGAATGATCAACAGGTCCTCTCGACACGATGGATACATTAGATCACCACACTTGTTAATGGAGATTTTTTATACTAAAAAAAATATATATATATATAAAGATGTTTTTTTGTTACGTAATGAAATGTTAATGTCATGTGAAAAGTCGATTCTCAAATAATTACGTCATTCCCCGAAGTTTTCAGAAATGACGTGATTCTCTAGAGAGAAAGAGAGAAAAAGAGCTTTTGTCTAATCATTATATATATATATATATATATATATATATATTTGTTTCGTTTAATTGATCGTATTTATTAGAAACGAGGCTAATATTATAGATTGTTATATCTAAATTATATACCCTCCAAAGTAATCTTAATGATTGACTTATCCTTCAATTCCGTGACAATTATTTTGCAAGCAATTTCCGTTAAACAAAACTAGAAAACAGAAATCAAAATAAAAATTTAATTTTAAAATTTTATAATTTTTTTTTTTATAAAATAAATTCTATTCAATATCTAGAAAAAATTTTTATTTCAAAAATTAGTTTTCGTATTTATTTTTCTATTTCAAAAATTATAGATATCTAATTTATTTATTTCAAAAATTTTTTCCTGAACAAAATTTTCATTTGAAACGTAAAAAAAAATTAATAGAAATTAAATTATTAATTTTACAATTTCGTAAAAAAAGAAATGTTTATTTTTCAAATTCTTGGGATTAAAAAAGAATAATTGCAGATTTAAAAATTCTTATAACGATGTTGTAAATCAGATATAAGTTTAAAACAAAAAGAATATGATTTCATTATTTTTCTTTTTTTTTTATTATTTTTTGTTATGTTGTTTATCTTAAAGTTTTGGAATTTATTTTTTTTTCTGGAAAGCGCGATGTAGGATCAATAGGAGAAGGTTTGAAGGTGGGGTTTCGATGCTACAGCTGCTGTATGTAGTTTAGTTCGAGAAAAGCAATCACGCGGACGGTCTCTCTAATAAAGACATTTTTAACCGGCTTTTTTTAACAATAAATATTTCGAAAAATAAATGACGAAAAAATACATTTTCCATGTCAAGCCTTATTCTTATTCGAAAGGTACGAATGTCATTAAAAAAAAATTTATGATTTTCTATTTCACAAACATGCGAATTTTTTTTAGTCATTTTTTCTTTAGCAAGAAAATTTAAAAAAAACGGTTTTAGAGAAAATATTATCACGTAGCGTTTATTATTATTTCTTTACTCCCAAATAGTTTTTTTTTCTTTACTTTGAATAATTTTTAAAATTAACATTTTTTTTTTAAAATTAAAAATACTTTTTGAAAAGTAAAAAATTGGAAATTGTATTTAGAAATTGAAAAAAAGGGAAATAATGGAAAATAATGACAATTAGTTTTAAAAAAATCGGAAATATATTTTTTCACAGTTTTTTAAGTTACCTTGAAATATGTCGAACGTATTAAAAATAGATTTGAAAATTAAAAAAAAAACCAAATGGTTGCGAAAAATAGTGTTTGCGGTTGAAAATAGAAATGTTACTTCGATTGTCCACCTTTCTAATACAATGAGTACCATTTAATCTTGGAAGATAAGGTTTATCAGAACTCGTTAATATACTTATTGTTTCACAATTTAAAACGTGTGTTTCTTTTTCAAAACGAGAAACAAAAAAAAAAACAATGATGATTTAGTTAATAAATCGCTAATCTCTTCAAATTTAGTGATATTTATTATATTTTTTACTACATTTATTCTTTTTGAAAAAGTTTCCTCTGTCGTTCTATGTATATCTCAAAAGGGAACTTTGATTTCATTCATAAATCGTTAACGGATATTCTAGTAGCGAATGTGTGTGACTATTATTTTTGCCAGTTTGCCGTCTGACTTCGCTCAGACAGCATCGTTTTTCCGATTACGATTGCCACTTTTTTTTATCATTTTTATCAGAAAAAAAAATATTATTTTCTTTATGGTAAAAAAAAATTCGAGACACGTGACAAAATAAGCGTTTTGAAATTCTAAAATTAGGAAAAATAATTTTTTCTCATAATATAGTGTTATTTTAAAGCAAAACGAAAAATATATAAGTTAGAAAATTACAATTTACCTTTTAAAAATTCTTCATTGCATTTTTTTCGATTAGAATTAAAAATGAAAATTAATCTTTTTTCTTGATGCTATTCTCTTTTTTTCCTAATGTTAAAAGTAGGCACAAATATATTTTTCAACTTAATTTATTTCTTTAAAAGTTTGAAATTAAAAATATAAATATACGTTGGTAAAAGTAAAGATAAAAAAAAACATAAAATGCGAAACTTGTATAGAAATAAATATTAAACTTTTTTTTGTAAGAAAAATATTTTTACCTGTTGATATATTTTTTCTACGCTTTGAATTTAAATATTTTTATAATTAATTTTGTGATAAATATGTAATTAATAGAAAATTAATTTATTTTTTGTTTATTCAAAATACAAGTGTTTTTGGAATAAAAATTGAAAAGTTTATATATACGAAAGAAAAATAAGAAAAAAGTGAATTAAAAAAATAATTTTTGAAAAAAAATCGAAACAAAATGGAATTTTGAGTTTTTTTGCGAGTTTAAATATTTTTTCTAGTTATATTTTATGACACAAAATAATGTAGACAGCGATAGTTTTATCATAGGTCAGCCAACTGTGAAATCAATGAGGGTTTATATAGACATTTGAATATATAGTTTGTGAACAAAAAATAATGCAACTCAACCAAGTGCAATGAATCCCTTGGAAAAAATAGTGGTTACCAGGGTAAATTTTTTTTATGAACTTCCATTGTTTTCGATTACAAAAATTATTATTACAAAAATAATTATTACAAAATAGTTTTTATTTTTTTTTACATTATTTTTATTATTTCTATATTTTTATAAATTTCACTTTTAGTTTATTTAATTTTCAATTTTCTCTCTCTTTCTCTCTCTCTTGATAAATTATAGTTTTATAATTATTTTTTATTTTTATTATTAATTTTGATAATTATTTTTATGGAAAATTAATTTTTGATTTTTATTATCAATTTTGACAATTATTTTTATGGAAAATTAATTTTTGATTTTTATTATCAATTTTGACAATTATTTTTATGGAAAATCAATTTTTAATTTTTATTATTAATTTTGACAATTATTTTTAAAAAATTTAAAAATTTCTGCTTAATCAATTTTAAAGAATAAAAATTTGATTATTAAGAATCTAATTTTTTTTATATCTAAATATTGGAAATATCGATGAACTTGAGCCAAAATATAGAGTTTAAATTTCGTAATAATTTTTTGTCAGAACTCCAACCTCGAGAATATTGTGTAAAATTCATTGTATTTTTCAAGTTCATGGTGACAGTTGTTCGTTAACAGGTTCGCGAAGATGATGATGTCACAATCTATTTGTAGAGCTCGATTAATTTTCTTCTTATGAGAGCAATTTACATTCTCATCATAATTCGCATTGACTATAGATATAGGTACGTTTACAATTTTTCGAATTGAAATCTAAATCGAGAGAGACTATTATTTTCAATGTAATGTACAAAGATCATTATTTGCAATGCGTGTTTCTCACCTGTGAAAACTTGTACTATTTAAACGATAACGAGAAATGCAATGGCAATTAAGTTTACCTGTAATAGGTCAAAGGTCTCATGTTTGGGAATCATTTTTGAATACGATAAAACAAAATTGTTTTAAAGGAACTTTGGAAAATTTTACGGTTTCTATTTGTAGACTTTGAAAATTTGGCAACATTTTGTGCTAATTGCTCGAGTCAAAATAATGTTTTATACCAATTTTAGACATTTTTCACGGTCAGACAATTGTTTTTAGAATCTTGAATTATTATTTATTATTCGATTCGGAAACTTATTTTTTGTTAAAAAAATTATTTATTTATTTATTGCCACCTTTATTTTATTATTAATTCGAAATTAATTTTTTATTATTGATTTTTTTATTGTTTTTTATGTATTTAAAAAATATTTTATTTAATAAAAAGTATTTTTAGTTTTTTTAGTCATTTATTATTTTTTTTTTTTTTTTGAGAGTCAGTTTTTTTACACGAATTATTTCAGAAATGTTAAATTTCTTGTATTCGATTTTATATCATTTATGGATTGTTTACAAGCAGAAAACCTTGAATGTTTTATTTTTTGCGATCGTAGAATTTTTTATTCTTTACTTTATCGATTAAATATAAAATAATTGTAGCTAAAATGTTAAGATCTTGATTTTATTGAATATAAAATGTGGTTTGAAAAATTGGAATTTCATTCCTAATAATAAATTATTTACAAATTTTTATTTATAACGGTTTTTTATTTTATTTGCATTTTGTTTTTCATTTATTTATTTAGAAGAAAAATTTATTTATTTAATAAAGTAGGAAATTATCAATTTAGTAAAATAATTACTATAATTAACAAATACCTAAAAAAATATATAATTAAAAAATATATAATTAGAAAATTTATAATTAAAATTATAATAATTAATTATTGTAATTAAAATAATGATCAATTTTATAAATATCATTTTTGTTACTAAAAAAAAAAGTATGAAAATAAAAAATCCCCCATTTATTTATTCGTACAGAAAATATAATAATTTTTATTCTTTTTTTTGTATGAAAAATAAAATTTGCCTGAAAAAGAAAAAAAAAAGGAAAATTCAATGAAATTCTAAAATTAAATCTAAGGCGTTAGATACAAATTATACGTTCTGTGCAACCGCCACTTTTTGAAAGTATATTTTTAGATATATCTTTTCGTTATGAATGATTTGCCAAGCGCAGCTTCAGTTTTCCGTGGAAAACAGAATAGAAAAGATTTTTTCATTTTTCATCTCGTTATTTTGTCCATATACATTAGAAATTTATTATCTCACTCATATAGTTTATCGTATTAAAGTTTTGCATTCAGTTTCTTCAACTCTGTCTCAAATAACGCTTACCCGATTGTTTCTACCGTTGAAGTGCATCTCTTAATCTGTCAAGTACCACCGCAGTTCCGCGCCTACGATTCAAGTTTACGCTTGAAAGATTTTTCCCGTCAGAAGATATTTTTTTATTTTATTTTTTTTTAAATACATTTCTAGAACCGTCATTCTTTGATGTTAGCAGGTGGATCGGTTAATAAATAGTTATTTGATCAGTTTGACTTGTTCGTGTCAAGAAATCGGTTTAATGAACATTAATAATTTTAAAAAAATGTATTTTTAGTGACACAATATTTTTTTTTGACGGGAATTTTTTTTTGTATTTTTTCTTTGTGAAAAAAATCAATGTGATGAGGGAGAGGAATTTTGTGACTAGAGAGAATTTTTGAAAAATGTTTGAAGAAGAATGTTTACGGTAACTTATGTTTTTTCATTGTTATTGCAGCGTGCTCTTCAAGAACAACGACCGTTGAGAACTTTTAGAACTGAATTTAATATTTATGAGAGTACAACGAGCGAGGAACGATTTACATCTACGACAACACATTTCACCGAATCGCAGTGAGTTTTTATTTATATTTACTTTATTTTATTCCAATTTTATCTAATATTTAATATTTTTGTTATTAGGAAAAAATTAGGTTTCAATTTTTAATTTTGATATGTTTAAAATCTAATTTGATTTAAAGTTAATTACGATTTTTTTTTATATTCGAAACGAGATTAAAACTCTAATTTAATTATTAAATTCAATTCTATCAGGAAATTTAAATTTTGTTAATTTATTTTTAAACCCAATATGAAATTAAAAATCTAATTTGACTTCGAATATACAAGAGAATTAAAAATATTATTTTTTGGTTTCGGCAACAAAATGTAAATTTAAATATGGTTTCTAAATTCGAAATGAAACCTAAAATCTTAACTTAATTCAAAGTTAAATTTAATTTTGATTAAAATTAAAGTTGAATGTCTAGTTTAATTTACTGTCAAACTTGAAACGGAATTTTATTTATTTATTTATATACATTCCCCAGAATTGAATATCTTAATTAATCCGAAGCAGAATTGAAACTCTAATTTAATCTAATTTAATTGAATCGGCATTAAACACAAAATTGAATTAAAAATCTAATTTAAAATCGTGTTAAACTGGAAACGAAATCCAAAGTCTATTTTTTTTATTTCTGTCTCAAAAATGAATTACGAAATCTAATTTAATTCTTTTTAATTTTAAACTGCAATTTTGCACCGAAATAGAATTAGATTTTCAATTTCTTTCCGATCTAAAACCGAATTGAATTAGATTTTCAATTTCATTCTCAGATTTCTGAATTAAATTATAGTTTTAATTCCGTTTCGAATTTGAAATAAAAAAATTTAAACTTTGTCAAATTAGATTTTTAATTCAATTTATAGATTTAAAAAGTGTAATAAAATTTACATTTCGTCGTAGGTATTAAATTAAATATCGAATTCGGTATTCGGAAAACTTGAATATTTTTTCGCGTCCTTTGGATTTAAATAATTATTATTTGACAACCGATTTTAACTAAAAATAATTTTTTTTTTGCAAATTGTACAACTGGATATTTGAAAATTGTAGTAAAATTAATTTTATTTATTAGTTTTCATTTGTCGATAAAAACCAATTTTTAGTTTGAGGTTATGCTCAAGTTGCATTTAAAAAATACTTTAGATTTGTGATAAAAATTAGTGATAATTAAGAAAACAAAATTTCTTCACAAATCAGATACGAGCGTCATGAATCAACAGCAACGACGTATTCGAGTGAGTATCAACATGTATCATCGAGGGAATCATCGTCGCCTCTCAAAAGGCCCTACGATCGTACAAATGGCGAGACACTCAAATCATCGTCATCGCCAAATGAAGTCGATTCATCGCGAGCTAATTGTTCAAATAGTAGTATGCAATTTAGTGAGATTAGAAGTCTCAAAAAAATTCACAAATCAGAAGAGAATAGCGAAAATTTTATGGAAATAAGAGGTATCGTTCATCCTGTAACAAAGGAAATAATTTCAGTTGGCGAGGCAATAAGCCTTCGTATTTTAGACGTTAGAAATGGTCGTATTGCAACATCCGCCGATGGTAAGACAAGTGTCACCATCAAGGAGGCTGCTAATGCTAAATTAATCGATGATGATCTCGCAAAACGTTTATTAGGACCGTGCGGTATTACAGAGGATGGTCGTCGTATTTCACTTCTCGAGGCAATACAGAGGGAAATTTTTGACGCCGAAAGAGGAGACGATCGTGTTAAGGTAACTTATTTATCAACAGGTGGAATTAGCGTAGCTGATGCGATGAAAGAGGGTTTATTGGATCCCGAAACGGGACAATTTATAATTGCGAGTGGTGAAAAAATTCCCATTGATGAGGCATATTCACGTGGTTATTTGACGCGTTTAAGTACAAGTGTGAATATTAGACAGAATTCAATTTCGTTTGCCGATGCAATTTCACAGGGTTTAGTTGACGATAGACTGGGACGTATTATTGATAGAAATACTGGTGATTCACATTTTCTTGACGAGGCAATTGCCATGGGATTAATTGATTCGGAAATACGTGAAGTTGTAGATACTCGAACTGATACGAAAATTACTGTTGCACAAGCTTTGGATCAAGGTATACTTAATGCGAAATCGGGTAAATATTTAGATGAAAAATCAATGGAAAAATTGTCTTTTAAAGAAGCGCGACGACGACAATTTATTATTAAACCATTGACATTGAAGGATTGTTGTGATATTGAGATTTTTGATCGTGAGAGTGGAAAAATTGCGAGTCCGGCACGTCAAACAAAATTAGGAATTTTAGAAGCAATTTCCCGTGGTGTTTTAGATTCCGATCGTATTAAATCGGTGACCGATACAAAAAATGATTTGAAACTTACACTTTCTGACGCTTTGGCAAGTGGAATTATTCTTCCGGAGGGTAAATACCGTGATGGTAAAACAGAACAAGTGCTTTCGATTCCTGACGCTGTCGATAGGGGGCTAATAACATCGGTTGCGCAAAAATCAATATTTGATATTGAAGGTTTTATGGATCCGGTATCTGGGGAATGGATCAGTTTAAACGCCGCCTTATTGAAAGGATTAGTTAGTCCAAAAGCCGGTGGTTCATTTGTAACTGATTTAAAAAGTGGAAAGACATTGTCGTTGAACGAAGCAATGAACGAGGGACACGCTCGACCTGAAGTTATGGAAATGTTAAATCGAGGAATTGGTATTACGGAGAATGGTCGCGAAATAAGTGTGATAGAGGCAGTTTTACTTGAGCTGCTTGATCCAAAAACTGGTCAATTACTCGATCCACGAAGTAAAAAAATTGTGCCTTTAAAAGAAGCGATTAGACGCGGTCTAATCACGCCAGATGGAGCTGCCTTACTTGCTAGTTTGTTGAATATTACCGTCACTTCACAAACAATGACGAAAACAATTAAAAAATATGTTACAATTACCGAATCTGGTGAGACAATTACGAGGGATTATAAAATTGCGTTTTCAGAAGCCCTGGCTAGGAATTTGATAAATCAAGAAACTAGTGAATTTCGTGATCCTGACACTGGGCGAGTGATGAGTATTCAAGATGCAATTAGAGAAAGTTTACTAGGTGACGTTGCAGATAGTGCATGCTCGTCAAAAAGAATGAAGGAACCAAAACAAATGATGTTTGAAACGACAGTGATTCGTGATATTGGCAGTGATTTATCACCAAAGGCCATTGGAACGACTACAACTATCATCACCAGAGATGTTATTTCCCCAAATCGCGATTCTCCACTGTCTATAATTTCGGAGACGTCACTTTCGATTTCACCTTCTGATTCAGTTGGACAAACATTAAAGACCAATACTGTTTTGGAATTCAGGGAAAGTTCACCTACAAAAGAATGTCCCGAAGTAATGGAAACTGAAATATCAAATAAGAAAGCTGAAGAGATCGATAGAAGAATTTTCGAATTACCACCTGGTGGTTGGATGCTAGCTGAAGTAATTGAGAGAAAACTTTTGGATCCTGAAACTGGTATGTGTATGATCCCAGGCACAGATCGATTGGTTCCATTTGAGGAGTGTGTGAAATTAAGAATTATCAATCCTAATTCTGCCATTGTTATTGATCCCAACGATAGGGGAAATATATCTCTTCTAAAAAGTCTCGAGCAAGGAATTCTAGATTCAACAGGTCACTATTGTCATCCGGTGAAAATAACACTTAAAGAAGCCATTGTTCGAGGTCGCGTGATACTTGAGAATAAAATCATAGAAGTGGAATGTTCCTCTCCGAGATTATTGCAAATCACTAAAATCACGGGTGAACCGGATAAAGTGGAAATTTCGACAATTGATGATCCCACAAAAAGTGCAGTTGTTAACGTTTCAGAGGAACAAAATCTCCTAGATCCCGTGCAAGTAAAACCGGGTGTAATATACGATCCCTCAACAGCTCTGGTGATTTTCACCGAATCGGGAAAATCAGCCGATATTTTAACTGCAATTAACGATGGTGCTTTGCAACCCGAAGTTGTTGTTATCAAAGATCCGCGAACTGGTAAGGAAATTCCCGTGAAAGATGCAATTAGACAAGGAATTTTGGATACCGATCAAGGAAAGTATAAAGACAAAAATGGAAAAGGAATGACACTCGCTGACGCTACGAAATTGGGTCTTGTTGCTGTTTTAGGAGCTCCACTCGTAGCGGCAGCAGCGGCTGTCGAAGCTGTCAAGAGAGCCATGATTGAAGATCCACGAACCGGTGAGAAAATTCCTCGCGAAGTTGCCATTGAACGAGGTCTTGTTAAACCTGATAAAACTCCTAAAGAAGAAATGATTTCCGAAGAGGAATCGGGTCTTTCTCTGAGTGAAAAAACAAGATCGCGAGTGACAACTGAACCAAAGTTCAAAGTCACAATTGGCAGAGCGAGATCTCTGTCTCAAAGTCCAGAGCGTGAGGCAAAACCAATTGTCCTGCAAAAGATGAGAAAGAAAATTATCAGACCGAAAGAAGCTCTAGAATCCGGATTGATGGACAGGGAAACGGCAAAAGTACTGGAGACAAAACTCTCAGGCGATGATGGAGAACCGCTCACATTACTGGAAGCTATCAAAGGTAACAAAATTGATGCAAATCGGGGAAAGATTGTCGATCCTCAAACGGGAGAGGGTTTAACGATAAAGGAAGCTTTTCAACGTGGAATTTTAGATCCAGAGAGCGCCGATATGTTTGTTCCAGTGGCTAAAAGTATTTCAATTCCCGATTTATATAAACAAGGTCTTATCGATCCCAAGGGTGAGATAATTCATCCAGAAACAGGAATGACCCTTAAATTGAATGACGCTATAGTTTGCGAAATTTTGGATCCCAATTCAAAACTTACCGATCCAAATGGACAGAAATTAACAGTTGAAAGTGCCATCGTTAATAATGTGATTGATACCTTGAGATCGGTGGTGAAAACCGAAAATGGCGATATGTCGTTAATTAAAGCCGTTGAAGCTGAAGTATTCGATCCAAATGATTCGAGGAATTTGTCAGAAATTCCACCAGTTGGTATGACATTCCCTGTTGCTTTGAATCGCGGCCTCATTGACGCGAAGAGCAAAGAAATCATTCATCCAATAACCGGTGATCGTTTACCAATTGAGGAGGCAATTAATACAGATTTTATAATGACAGTACCGTATCCATCAACAGCTGACAGTACTGAAGTGACAAAAGCCCTTGATTCGTGTCTCATTGATCAAACTAAAGGAATATTTCAACATCCAAAGACTGGGGAACAAATTCCCATTACCGAGGCAGTTGAATCCGGTCTTTTAGTTATTAAACCACAATCCGAAAATATAGGAACAATAAAAGCAGTCACTGAAACAATTACATCGTATCATACAATGACATCTGAAACTGTTCAACTGGCGAAAGGTTTTGCTCTTGTTAGTCCTACCGAAGTGCAAGATATAAATACTGGAAAAATTCTTCCATTAGACGAGGCCAAGAGGAAAGGAATCGTTCGCGATGATTCAAAATCGAAATCAGAAGAAGAAGAAGCAGAAGAGAATGTGACATTTAGTGAAGCGCTTGAACAAGGTTTAGTAAATCTAGAAACGGGTACATTCACCGATCCTGATTCTGGCAAAATGATGCCAATTTCAAAAGCCATTGAAACTGGTATTCTGGATACTTCGTTACCGACCGAGAAAATGGAAATAGAGAAAGGTCCCTTGACGGTTCTAGAGGCGTTTGAAAAAATCTACGATGAGGAAGCGGAAAAGTTTCACGATCCAGTCACTAAGAAAGAGTATAATCTGTCCGAAGCGATTCAAGTCGGTCTTATCGAGCCAGATTCGGTGGTTTACGATGTAAAATCCGCCAAGGCTGTTACCACCAAAGAGGCAATAGAAAAAGGTTTACTCGATTCAAAAACCGGAAAATTGAAATTCGCCAGCGGAAATTCGATGTCTGTGGCCGATGCTGCAAAATTGGGTTTGTTGGCAGTTGTTGCTGCTCCGATTTTAGCTGGTAAAGCAGTGATCGATGCTGTCAAGAGTAAAAATACCGAAAAGGGAATAAAAGACGCCAAACGAAAAGATCCAGTCGATAAGGAAGATTCCAGACTATTAGTGTTGGGTAAGAAAGATTCCAATAATACTGTCGATAAAGAAGTACTTCAGCCAAGAAAAGCGTCTTCTGAGGAAGAAACTGATGCAATGGACGAACCTTTAGACTCGACGATAGTCACAACAGTTCAAGAAGCCATTGAAAATGAACGAATTGATCCAAGAACGTGTCGCATTTTCATACGAGGTAAAGAATTACCTCACACAATTCATCAAGGTCTTGAACAACACGAAATTAATTTAACAGACACTATAGAAATTTTCTCCAAGACAAAAGTTGAATTATTAGACGATAAAAGATTGAGAATTCACATTTATCCCGATCTAACAGCAGAAAATCTCGCCGAAATGGGTGCATTTAATTTGGAAGCCGATAGATTCGCTGATCCAGTCACTGGAAATTTGGTATCGTTCAATGAATTTGTATTGGCTTTGGAAATATTCGATCCGGATAATGTGTTGGTTCGCGATATAACCACAAAAACGGAGAAATTTGTCTCACTTCGAAAAGCAATTGAAAGACCATTGGTGGATCGAAATGTTGGCTACATGGTAGATCCAAAGAGTGGGAAAAAAATCCCTTTCTTCGAGGCTATTAAACGTGGTTGGATTGTGGAAAATCCAGTGGAATTTAACGAGGAACAACCACTATTGTCACTGGAGGAGATTATAGAAAGTGGTGCTTGTAATTTAATAACTGGTGAGGTTCAGGATATTTCCGGACAGACGATATCATTGGCAAGTGCTATTAGAAATGATCTCATTGATCCCGATTCGGTGAGTATTCGGAATCCTGTAACTGACGAAATAATGCCACTTTCAGAGGCGATTGACGCTGGAATTGTGAATTTGTCGAAAGAAACTATTGTGAATGTAGAGACAAAAGCGGAAATTGATATGAAGGAAGCAATGTCAATGGGTTTGATGGTGCCGAGATTGAGAAAACCCATCTCTTTGGAAGCGGTGATAAATCGCGGTTTATACGAACCGGAAACTGGGAAAATTCTCGATACATTCGCAAATCAGTTTATTGACGTTGAGGAAGCGGTTCGTAGAGGAATTGTCGATGCTTTTATCACTGAATGCGAAGATACAAAAGCGGGTTCCTTCCTCTCGCTGGATGATGCTTTAACTGTAAAATTGATCGTTCCGCTAACGGGCAGATTACGTGATACAAAAGCCGGTAGTCTACTTCCTCTAAATAAGGCCCTTAATCACGGTTTGATAATTACTACACCGTTCTGTCCATCTTTAATCGATGCAATTATTCAAGAATACTATTCACCGAAAACCGGACTTATCTTAAATCCGGCTACAGGTGACGAGGTAACGGTTGCAAAAGCATTGGCAATTGGATTTGTCGATGGGAGAATGATAAAAATAAAAGATGAAAAACAAGATAGGGCTGTTTCGATACAAGAAGCGCAGGAATTGGGTTTATTGGATTTGAAAAAAGGAGTATTGACCTATCCTCATTTAATGACGTTGGACGTGGCTTTTGAGAAGGGTTTTATTTTAAGTACAGTGAAACCTTGGACATTGCAAGAAGCGTTAGCGCATCAGTGTTATGATCAAAAAACAGGGAAATTAATAATTGACGGTGATCGTTTTACATTGGAGGAAGCAATTGCAAAGGGTGTTATTAGTCAGGATAGTCCGTCGATAAAAGATCCAAGGACAGGTGATATAATATCGTTGGGCGATGCCATTAAGCATGGTGTTATTGATCCAAAAAGTGGAACAGCTATGGATCCAATTTCCGGTATTCCATTCAGTTTAACAGAGGCATTGGATCGAGGACTTGTTGTGCCGGCAAAGAGGAAAATCTCCTTACCCGAGGCTGTATTTAAAGGATTCTACGATCCAAAAACAGGACAATTTACCATTCCGGAAACGCAGGAGAAACTTCCCACCGATCGAGCGATACAAAAAGGTGTTCTCGATCCAGCGTCAGCAATTGTACGCGATGGTGACGGTGAAGTAATAACATTCCGCAAAGCAATTAAATCGTTAATTGTCGATCCAAAAGCAGGAACTATTACAAATAGTCGGGGGTTGGCGATTGATTTTCACGAGGCTTTTGAGCAGGGAATTCTTCTAGAGACAAGAAGACCAATGAGTTTCAGCGAAGCGATTTTTAAGGGAATTTTGGATGAAAAAACGGGTACTTTTCTTGATCCACAAACTGGACGTTATTTAACGTTATTGGAAACAATTGAAAATAAATTAATTGACGCCGATTCGGTGATTGTGAAAGATACACGAGCGGAAGAGTGGAGGAAGATTACTTTGGTGGAGGCAATTGAAACGGGTTATATTGATGGTAAAAGTGGAAGAGTTAAAGATTCACAGGGTAGGGAGATAAGTTTAAGTGAAGCTTACGATACTGGTATTATTATTGATAAAAAAGCAGCTGTTTCATTGCAAAAAGCAATTCATCAAGGATTATATGATGAGAAAATGGGTAAGATCATTGATCCAAGTACAGGAAGGAGTGTGACGCTTCATGAGGCAATGAGAAAATGTATTATAAATCCAGTACTCGCTTGTTATTGGGATAAGAGAACAGAACGTGTTTTATCGTTAGCCGAAACATGTAGAGCCGGTGTTATTGATCGTCACGCTGGTACTTTTAAAGATCCAATAACTAATAAAACAGTTTCGTTGACAAATGCCCTGCAATTGGGTCTTATTATCGATATCGAAAATACGGGTTTCAGTTTGTATGATGCACTTTTGATGAATATGTACGATTCCACGAGTGGAAGATTTATACATCCGGCGAGTAATAAAAAATTACTTTTGTCCGAAGCTTGTCAGGAGATGATTAATCCACTGAGGTCGATTGTGAAGAATTCGAAAACTGATCAATATATTCCGTTGGTTGAGGCAATTGCTATGGGTCTAGTGGATAATATTCGTGGAACTTATAATGTACCGGATTCATCGGTGATTATAAATCTTCAAGAGGCGAGGAGGAGAGGTTTAATTGTACCTTACGTGAAACCATTGACAATTGAGGAAGCAATTAAGTGTCAGATTTATTCAGCTGGTAAATTTATTGATCCAATTACTAATGATTCGTATAATTTGTCCGAAGCTATTGAGAAGGGTTTAATTGATTCTGAAACAACGGCATTGAAAGACGCCAATACTGGACAGTTAAAATCCATCTTGACTGGAATTCAAGATGGTACGATTGATATTTTACAAAGTAGTGTTCTTGATCCAAAAACAAAACGTATGTATAATTATGAAATTGCTCTTGAACGTGGATTATTGGTGACTGTTGAACCGACAATTCATGTAGATTTGCCAAAAATTGACAGGGAGAGTATTAAAGAATGTACACTTGATGAGGCGATTTGTTATGAATTAATTGATCCTAAAAATTCGGTGGTGAAAGATCCGAGAAATGGAAGATTTATCAGTGTCAGTGGAGCGTTAGCTGAGAATGTTATTGATTCGTCAAAGAAAGGTTGTTTTGAATCACAAATGAAAATACGTCCCCAGTGTGTGAAATTTGAGAATTTTGTCGTCTATCATGAGAAACCGATGTCATTTGAAATGGCCGTTGAGGAGGGTCATTTGATTCTTGAAACTGGTAAATTTACTGATCCAAAAACAATGAGTACACTCACACTGAAGGAGGCTGTCACTCATGGTGCAATTGATCCTGATTCTGCTTTAATTAAAGATACGGAGAAGAAAAAATTGGTTAAACTCGCTGAAGCTTTCCGTCGTGGAATGATGGACGCTGAGAAGGGTAATGTTTTGGATACTGAATCGTCGAGATTGTATACATTGTCAAAAGCAGTTGATTTAGGTTTATTGGCAACGGAAAAACAGGGAATTTCTTTTATTGAAGCTTTACAATATGGTCTTTACGATCAGACGAGTGGTAGTTTTCATGATCCTTTTGCAATCACTTCTTCAGTTGATGGTAAACGTTCTTTAACATTACTTGAGGCAATAGATTCAGGTTTAATTGATCCCAGTACAACGGTGATTAAAGATCCTGTTAGTGGTGATATTTTGAGTTTATTGGAGGCAATTAATGAGGGAAAAGTTGATCCGACAATGGGAAAGATTTTAGATAATTCAAATAGCAAAGGTTTGGATTTCATCAAGGCATTGGAACATGGATTTATTCTCGCAGCAGAAGCTCGGGTAAGTGATGATTTTTATTTCTTTCTTTTTTATTCCGATATATTTTTTTTCTCTTTTTTTAAAAGAAGCTTGCTATTTGGGATTGGAATATTTTCAATTTGCTCTTTTTTTTAAAAAAAAAAAAAAAGAATCCATTTTTTGCATTTTTAAATGGATTATTTCATTATTTTTATTGCTCATCTTTTCGTGATCATCATTTTTCTCCCGAAGGCTTTTTGGCATGGTCCCATCGCATGGACCGTTGATATTAATCACTTTTTAATCTATTATGTATAATATATTTTATTTATGGGACTGAAGTTCTGAACGTTCAAATGAATACCAAAATTTTTTACTGCTTTTTAACTTCAAATTTTATTAAAAAATATTGTTTCCTGTATCGAAAAATAAATCAATCTTTTATGTATTTTTTTATTTTTCATTGCTGTGGTAATTTAAAAAAAAATTATTTCGTTCATTTGAACTTCAGGCAGATATTTATTTTATTTTTCGTTTTGCAATTTTTAAAAGGCAATTTTGGATTTTTTTCTGATTTGTAAATATTTGAAGTAATGGGAAAATTCAAATGATAATCATTTTTGTAAGGGTGAAAAAATTAATGACTTTGTTTTAGAAATTGAAAAATAATTATCTAATGAATAATTGAATAAAGAATTGCAAAATTTTGAAATTTAGTAATCTGTTTATTTGGAGAAAAATTAATTTTCGAAATAATTATAATTGATAAAAAAAAGACAAATAAATATAATTTTTGCGAAAATTATACAAAAATTTTAATAAAAATGTAACTAAGCAAAAATTCTAATAGTTTTACTATCGGAAATGAATCCAAATTTTAAATAAAAAGGATTATTAATTGATTAATATTATTAAAATTCAAAATTGAAAATTAGAAAAATTTTCTAAAATAAAAATGTTTAATTAGTTTATCAAATTGAAATTTTCTTTTTACTAGTTGAAATATCCGTATTAAATAAATATTTTTCATTAAAATTTAAATAATTATAAATTAAATTTTCTTAATTATTTAATTTTTATAAATAGTATTTTTTGTATATAATTTAATATTATTCTCCCCTTCACATGGAATGATTAAAAAAAATAGAATTCCCTTTGCACAATAGATTAGAAATTTTTATTAAAATATTTTTCTAAATTTATTTATAAAAAAAACACCATATCTCATTTTTTTTTTTTAATCAATCCGAATGCTGGCTTATGATGTTTTGTCTCGTTTTTACAGTGTTCCCATGTCACACAACACTTACATCTCCGTGCTTATTATCATTTAACGTATGGGGCTAGTAATGATCAACTTCTACTGACACTAACTGCTCGTGTTGTGCTGTGGCGTAGTACGGCCGACAAAATCTATGGCCACAAAAAAGCACACGTCATAACAAAAAAAAAAAAAAAATTCGTTCGACATCGCTTCTGTTTTAAATATTCATTAATCCAAATTCGTTTTATCGCATCAGCAATGCTAATTCGGCCTTTTATTACTATTATTATTTGATAAGTTTATATTTATAGTATTAATTTAATAATTACAATCCTTTTTTTCAAAAAAAAGATTGTAATATTTGATTGTAATATTTTGTTTTTGTATTCATTTTGTAATTTAAGTCTTTTTTTTAGATATAAATATTGTGATATTTAGTAATATTATGTTTTAATAACAATACTGAGGACGATTTTAATATTATCGATTTTTATTGTGTAAAAATTGATAATTTTTAATATAATTAATTTTTTATTACTATTAGTAATAAAAAATTAATTGTAAATTTTTTCTCATTTGTATTTCGTATTAATTTTTTTTTTTCATTGTTTGATCTAAGGCCAAATTAGTTTTTGTTAAAAATTATTATGGAAAATAGGTAATCATTTTAAAAAATCTGATTTTTTTTAAACTACAATAAATATTGTAGCAGATTTGTGATTTACAATGATCAAATGCATTTTTTCATGTCATTTGCATGGTTTGATTCTAAGAAGTTTTTGCAATTTTTTTCTAGTTGCTTGATTTATTGGTATAATTTTTTCATTTACGGAAAATTCATTTATTGTACTTTACTTTTTCTCTTTTTTTCTTTCTTCTTCTTCTTCTTCTTCTTCTTCATTTGAATAGGTTAAATTAATGAAGAATTTTTTTTTAGATTTAATTTTCGGTAACTTAAATTTGTTTCAGAAATAAAGTCGAAAATATCAATCTTAAATAAATAATTAAATTTTTTTTTATTTTGTTTCGGAAAATTATATTTTAATAAAATTTACTTTTAAATTAACAAATTTAATGGTTAACATTAATTGAATCGTAACAAAAATTAGTCCAAATTTTCATTTGGAATTTTTCATTTTTCTGATTTATAAAAATTTTCCACAATTGTTTGTCCGATTTTTATTTTTTCAATAAACGGACTTATTTTCAGTTTCGAATATAATGTGAAAGAAAATGAAAAAAAGTATTTAATATTGAAAGATCAAAAAATTAGAAAAAGGGAATTGAAAAAATTGAAAATAAAATTTTTATTTAAAAAAGAAAATTAAAAGAAAAATTAAGTTTGAATTTTTTTTTTTTTAATGAAATGTAAAAAAATAATGTAAATACAAGTCCTTAATGTTGTTAATGAAACATAATATTCAAAGATTAACTTTATAACTTCGTTATCGTTACTATAACATTTGTTTTTCTCTCTCTATACTTTTTTTTAACAGATGTTTGCTATTTACTGATTATTATTATTATTATTATTATTGTTTTTTAATTTACTTTCAATTCAATTGTTTATAATACTTTCTTATGTTTCTTATTAATTGTGTGTGTAAACTTTTTTATGTTTTCAGGTATTTTCGTTATTATGATTTAAAAATATTCTGCAAGACTATATTTTATATATATATATATATGAAAAACTACCTGCATTTTATACTTTTACATTTCTTCATAATATGAATGAAAAAAAAAAAAAAACTACATTCATCGTTGTCACTCTCCTTCACGATTGTGCGTTTTAATTTATTTGCTTGTGAAGAAGTCCTTTATAAATACAAAAGGCTTCTAAATTTTTTATATGTATATCATTTTTTTGTTTTTATTTTATTTTTTTTTTGGCTTCAAACTGCATATGAAAAAAACATACATGATTGTGCAGTCCTTGCAGATAAATTAAAGCTATACCGATGCCCATTTTGTTATTGTATATGTATTCTATTTTACGACATTGCGTTACATATTATCGTTTTTATTTTTATTTCGTGTGTTTGTGCTTGCATGTGTGTGAGGTATGCCTTAAAAATATGATTGACAAAATTCTTTCTTTTTCCTCTAATTTATTATTATTATATAGCTCTGCCATTGGTAAGATGGTAGAATTTTTGGTTCTCTTTTTCTTTATTGTCTTAATTTTCTTTTTTTTCTTTTTGATATTTTTCTAATGGTTTTGTTTTTATCTTCATTACAATTTATTATAGCAAGCCGTTGAGGAGAAATACAAATTGTGCGATGAACAACTTACAAAATTACTTCAATGGATCACCGATGTCGAGGACAAATTGGCCAATCAGGATGTTGTCAAGGAGGATATTGAGGATCTTAGAAATCAAATTAATATCATGAAGGTAAATGATCTTTTTTTTTGTTTTCTTTTAATTATTATTCTTCATTTGCGAATTGTTTTGAACTTTTCTAATTTTTCTTTTTTTCTCCAATCTTTTAATTACTTTAATTTATTTATTATTAATAAAATTTTTTTTTCTTCTTTTTTGTTTTGTTTTTTATTTTGCCATCGGAATAAAATTTGAAAAATATTTATTGCAGCAAATAAAGGAAGATTTGGATGCACACACTCGCTCCATATCATCTTGTTTGGACCAAGTGAGACAAGTGGTTCTAACCGGAAGTGATGTTCTTTCAAGTGATGAGATTTCGACATTGGAAAAGAATGGTCGCTCACTTAAAACTCGATTCGATCGTGCTTTCGATCGTACCGATCGTTTGCTGAGACGTCTCACTGTCGCTCGTGACGAACTAACGAAATTCAAGTAAGAAAATAAAAAATTTTTAGATTTTCAAATTTTGTAAAAATAGAATTTAATAATAAAAAAAAATTTTAATATAATTTTTTAGTAAATTTATAAATAAAAAAATTAAGTAAAAATTTAAAAAGAATAATTAAGTGAAAAAAAATTATAAATAAAAAACTAATTTAGTGAAAACAAAATTTTCAAGGCAAAGTAATAATTTTTTTTTTTTTCCCTTATTCTTAGGAACGAAGTGTCATCATTTTCAATTTGGTTGGACAAGGCACGTCGTGTTCTCGAGGAAAAAGAAAGATCACTCGCTGATTTGGATAAATTAACAAGCAGCACAGATACAACACGTGATTTTATAAGCGATGTTATTGCACATCAAGCCGATTTACGATTTATTACAATGGCAGCACAAAAATTTGTTGACGAAAGTAAAGAGCATTTACAAATTTTAAATGATTTTCGAACAAGTCTACCGCAACGTTTACCCCATAAAGAGCCAATTTCTAGTCAAGATTCACCTGTACGCAGTGAAGTGTCAATTGTCACTGCACAATATAAAGATTTATTGGCGCGTGCCAATAATTTATCGGATAAATTATCGGGCGTTGGTGGACGACAACGTGACTATAATGATTCATTGGAAAAGGCAAGAGCATGGTTACGTGACGTTGAACCAAAAGTACATCGTATTATTGCCGAGCCAATATCTGGTGAACCAAAACAAGTGGAAGATCAATTGAGTAAGGCGAAAGCATTGAATAATGAATTATTGGCAAATGAACGTTTAGTGGAGAATGCCAAAGCAAGTGTTGATGCACTTTTACGTTCTTTGGAGGGACAATTGACGCCACTTGAAGTTCGTCATTTGGAGGAGCCAGTTAGGGAAGTTGAGGATAAATATCGTCAATTGAGTAATGCATTGGCCGATAAATGTCAGGAACTTGAAACTGCATTGGTCAAGAGTCAAGGTGTACAGGATGCATTGGATAGTTTGGTCTCGTGGCTCAACAATGTCGAGAGTCAATTCAAGTAAGTTTTCTATTTTTCATCAACATTTAATTTTAAACGATATTTTGGTAAAAAAAAAAATTTAGAAATTATTTTTCAAAAAAATTGACATAATTTTTCTCCTTTTCTAGAAATCTTCAACGACCAGCGAGTTTATTGAAGGAACGCCTCGAGGAACAACAAAGCGAACAACGTGTCTTTCAAGCTGATTTGGACAATCATCGCGCAAGCGTTGAGGCAATAACATCAAGTGCACAAGATCTTTTATTAAATTCAAGTAATGCACGTGTCGCTAAACGAACTGAAGCAAAATTAAAAGACGTTCAAAGTCGTTTTGAAAAACTCATGGAAAAATCACTTCGTCGCGGTGAATTTCTCGATGAAATTTCACAAGCACTACATGAATTCCTCACTGAAAGTGCAAAATTCGATACATGGTATTCGCATATGATTGAATTATTAGAGTCGCGCGATATCACGAAACTTGAAATTTCTGAACATGAAAGTAAAATGGCACAATTGGCCGATAAACGTGAGGATCAACGTGGTAATTTTGAGGATTTAATACGCAATGGAAAGAATCTTGTTTCAAAGAAAGATATTACTGATGCATCGGGAATAAGGGATAAAATTAAAGCACTTGAATCACAATGGAAGGAATTGAGTAATTTATTGGATGAGAAACAACGTTTAAGTAAATCACGCGCTGAACGTCTTTATGCTTATGAAAAATTACGTGATCAAGTTATTGATTGGTTGAATCGTACTGAAAATCGTGTTCAACGTTTACATCCAGTTGCCGTTGATCTTGAAATTTTGAAGAAACAAATTGAGGATTTGAAACCAATACAAAAGGAATATCGCGATTATGGAAATACTGTTGATAAAGTAAATGATCTTGGAATTGCTTATGATAGTTTGTTAAAGGAACGTGGTGACAGTCCAACTAGACGACGAGGTAGTTCGAGTCCTACGAAACGTCCAAATATCACGAGTCCACGTAAGATTTTATTTTAGTAAAAAACGATTTTCTTTTTATCACATTTAGGTTTCTCGAGGCGCACGCATTTTTTTTTATAAACACGCTTCACATATCAAGGCACAAACCATAGACACACAAGCTTTAGTTATTTTATTTAAATTTTTTTTATAGTACGCCGAATGTCACAAGATGGTCGTTCACCTTCCCCCACTAAGTCATATGCAGTTCAAAGTCCGGTGTCTCCAGGTGGTAGCAGTGGATTTAGCAGTCGACGATCAAGCCAGGATGGTTTCCATTTGGAGGAATTGTCACTGGTTCAACAACAATTGTCGGAGATTAATAATCGCTATGGTTTATTGGGCGTGAGACTCACTGATCGACAAACTGAGCTTGACAATATTCGCGAGGAACTTCGCAAACATCTTGATAATCTCAAAACTCTATCACAATTCCTTGATAAGGTGAGAATCAACTTTTGCTTTTTTTTTTTTATTGAATTCCTTTTTTTATTTTTTAAATTCTTTCTTTTTTTTAAAAAATTAGTTACATTTTTATTCAATTGTATTAAGTTTTGTCATTTTTATTTTAATTCTACCAATTTTTTTTTAAGAAAAATAAACTAAAAATAAATTTACATTTCTTAAGGGAAAAAAATTTCTTCAATTTTTAACAGGAAAATTGTTTATAAAAATTGAATTTTTTTAAATACAATTATTGAAAAATTTAATTATTTTTAAAAATTTTACTATTTTCAAATTTTACTTCTTTTTAAAATTCGAATGTTTTTAAATTTAGTTGTGGTAGAATTTCAATAATTGTATGACAAAATTCGATATTTTTTTTCACTGGTATTTAAATTCACTTGTTTTTAAAATTAAACTATTTTTTAAATTTAATTATGTTAAAATTTCAATTGTTTCAAAATTTTCTTTTTTGTCATATTTAATTATTTTAAAAATTCCAACTATTTAATAAAATTAAGTTGTTTAAATACAATTATTGCAAAATTAATTTTAAATTCACTTATTTTAAAAACTATTTTTAGAAGTAAATTATTTTAAAAATTTTATAACTAAAAATTTAAAAAGTCAATTATTTTAAAAAATTCATTCATTAATTTTAGAATCATATAATAGAATTTATTCACTGATTCTTCATATTTTTGTTTTCATTTTTTAGTTTTTATACAAAAAAATTTTAATTCTATTTATTTTCATTGTTTCTAAACTCAATTAATTTTTAAATTCTTTGATATTGTGAAAACTGAGTTGTTTTTTTTTCACTTTCTATTTATTAAAAATTTATGAAGTTTATTAATTTTTTCTCATATTTACAAACTTTTCTAATAAATGAATTTAATTTTTAAGTTCATTTCTTGCAAAATTCATTTATTATCATATTTAATTTCTTTGAAAAATTTACTTATTTTGTTAAATCAATTATTTTTTTCAATCTTAATAAAACAAAATAAGTAATACTTTTATCATATTTTCTGGATGCGATTTTTTTGATTTCAATTAAAAAAACTTGATTCTTCAAATGGTATATAATTTTGCAATAAATGAAAATTAATAATTTGAAAATAAATTTAAAATTGCTATGTTAAAAATATTTTTTCAAAGAAATTTTAATTGTGCTCTTCAAAATAGATTAAAATTTCAAACAAATTTGTTTGATTCTAAGAAAATTATAACATTTTAAATTCTGTCGAATGAATCAACTAATGTTAGGCAGGGTTTCCACGGGTCATGGAAATCAGGGAAAAATTAGGAAATTTTTTGAAAAGTACTGAAGAAATGTCAAATTTCTAAAAATGCTACTTTTAATTATAATTTTTGAAATTTTCAATTCAAATTTTTACTTTAAAAAATTATTGTCTTAATTTTTTATAATTGAAAACCTCTTGAAATATTTTCATTATTTAGGGAAAAAAATTTAATTCCGACAAAAAATCAGGGAAAAAGCAAATTAAAATTTTTGTGTCAAACTAATAATTAAAAATATACCCTGTAAATTCTAATAAAAAAAAAAATTATTATTATTTCCAGGTTCAACGACAATTGCCAAAGGAAACAATTCCAGCAACAAAGGAAGAAGCCGACAAAATGGTAAAACAAATAAAGCTAATCGTTGAGGAAATGTACGAGAAACAATCGCTATTGGACAGTACAAGAACACAGGTTCGCGATTTAGTGAGACGCAAAAAGGGTGCCGATGGTGCCGATCGTCTAAATGATGAACTAGAAGACGTATCAAGCCGCTGGAAATCAATTTCCGATCGTTGTAAAGATCGAATTAAATTTCTCGAAGATATGAAACAATTTCACGATACATACGAGGCACTTAATTCGTGGTTGGGCGTAAAGGAAAAAATGTTGGGCGCCCTTGGACCAATATCATCTGATCCACGAATGGTTGCAAGTCAAGTGCAACAGGTACAAGTTTTACGTGAAGAATTCCGTACACAACAACCACAGCTCGATCATTTGATACAAGTTGGCGAGAGTATAATTGCAAGAATATCACCCGATTCAATTGATGGTCAAAAAATAAGTCACAAATTACAAAATATATTGCAACGTTGGTCGGATCAATTGAGTCGTCTCGATGAACGTGCACAAAGTTTAGGCGATGCCGTTGATACGAGTCGTGAATTTGACGCGAGTCTCAATCGTTTACGCGATGCACTACAGGCAATATCGGATAATCTTGATGATTTGCCATTGGATAAAGATCCTGAGGAGCAATTGCGTAAAATTGAAAATCTCGAACGACAACTAGAGGGACAACGACCATTGTTGGCTGACGCTGAAGCGGCAGGTGCACAATTATGCGAAGTACTCAGTGATCCTGCATCGCGTTCTGAAATACAAGGAAAACTTGCGTCCGTGGAGAAATTGTACAATAATTTACAAAAGAAATTGGATCATCGTAAAGCGGAAATTGAGGGTAATCTTCGCGATGGACGTCAATTTGAGGCGTCGTGCAGTAAAACACTTGGTTGGCTTGCTGATGAACTTGGCAATATGTCGGAGAAATTACTTGTCTCGGCTGATCGTGAAATATTGCAACAACAACTCGATCATCATGAACCGGTTTATCGAAATGTAATGGGCAAAGAGCATGAGGTGATAATGCTTTTGAATAAGGGACGTGATATACTTGCAAGATCACAAAAAACTGAGAATCGTTCATTGCAACGCGATTTAGATAAAATGCAATCGCAATGGGATCGTTTGAAGAAGGACACTGTGGAGCGTCACACGAGACTACAAACGTGCGCTGAACATTGTAAGAAATATTATCGTGCACAGGACATGTTTTTACCGTGGTTGCGTCAGGCTGAGGATAAATTGGAAAGTTTGAAACCAGCATCATTTAAACGTAAGGATATTGAGAAACAATTGAAGGAATTGTCATCATTTAGAAATGAGGTTTGGAAACGTTCGGGTGAATTTGAAAATAATAAAACACTTGGCGAGACATTTGTTTGCGCCTGTGATATTGATAAGGATGTGGTGAAAAATGAATTGAGCGCAATGAAAACAAGATGGGATAAATTGAATAATGATCTTTTGGAGAGGACACAATCTTTGGAGGATACGGCGAGACATTTGTCTGATTTCAATGAAAATCTACGTGATTTACAGCACAGTTTGCAGAGATGTGAGGATAAACTTGCTTCACATGATGCGCTCGGTGGAGCGGCTAAAGATCCGAAACTACTCGATAGAATAAAGGTGAGTCAATTTTTATTTCAAATAAATTTTTTTAACGTTTACCGAAAAAAAATTTTATTCCAATTTTATTTATTACGCAATAATGCAGTTGTTAAAATAAAATTTTTCTTAAATTAAAACATTTATTTTTAATTCAGGAAAATACTTCATTTTGTTTATAAATTATAAAATTTTTAATTAATGTAGCTTTTAAAAAATTACAAACGGTGAAGTTTTCAAAAACCCAACATAAAAAGAAGGAAAGTACATATTATAACAGCTGCGATTTTGTGCTCCCTGCATGCTTCTGCCCTCTGGCGGCGAAAGAACGTAACGAACCTGTTATTATATTACTTTTCCTTTTTCAATCGCGTTTTTGTATGAATTCAAGTAATTAATTTTAATATTCAGGTATAAAAAGGCAACTAATACAATATGGTGTCATAAATGGTTTATTATGACTAGACTTACAGTCGATTCTATTGTCCTTATTTGTCATCTTCTCTCTTTATTTTTCTTCTGTAATATTTAATATTTTAATTTAATATTTGAACGAAAAATAAATTAAATATCTATTTAAAAAAAATATATTTATTTATAAACGAAACAAAAATTATTTAACAATCGCATTTTTGTTTGAATTCAAGTAATTAATTCTAATATTCAGGTATAGAAGGACAACTAAAACAATAGTAGGTCATAAACGGTTTATTATGACTAGACTTACAGTCGACTCTATTGTTCTTTTGGAATATTTTAATTTAATATTTTAACCAATTTATTTTTTTTCAATCGAATTTTAGACCAAATTTTTGTTAAACAAAATTTTTTACTATGAAATATATTTTAAAAAAAATGAAATTTCCTTTAAAAGAAAATTCTCTCTTGTATTTAATAATATAATAATAATAATAATTTTTATAATATAATAATTGTCTAAAATTTTTAAAAAAATCTGCAAATAAACTATCAAAAATTTCCATTCAAAATCACTTAAAATTCAATTACATATTTTCAAAAATTTCAATTATTTCTATAATTTTTCATTTAAAACTTTAGGAAAAATAATTTCAACTGTAACTCTTTCAAAATTCAATTACTTTTAATGATTTTTATAATATTTTCCGAAATTTCAATTATCTGAAAGTATTTTTTAATTAGATAAAAACTTTTAAAGTTCAACTTTTGTCTGCATTTACTAATAAATTATTTAGAAACAGAAATCACCGAAAATTTCAATCAAAAAATCACTTGAAATTTAATTATTTTCAAAAATTTGAATTAAAAAAATTCTCTAAAATTTAATTAAAATCTGAAATTTAACAAAAAATTTGGAAATTCAATTATTTCTAAAAAATTCTAATGTAACTTTTCCAAAATTCAATTATTTCTAATGATTTTTGTAATATTCTTCAAAAATTCAATTATTTGACAGCATTTTTCAATTAAAATCTTTTGAAATTCAATTTTTGTCTGTAATTTCTAATAAATTTTTCAATGACAGAAATCATAAAAAATTTTAAACTAAAAATCAGTTGAAGTTCAATTATTTTCAAAAATCTGAATTGTAAATCTTTGAAACTTAAATTTTTTTTAAAAAATATTATCTATAAAGTTATTTGATAAATTATTTACAATTTTAAAAAATTTAATTATTGCCTGAAATTTATCAAAATCTTTTGAAATTCAATAATTTTTGAAAAATTTTAACTTTACTTCTTCTAAAATTCAATTATTTTTAATAATTTTAATATTTCTTTAAAAATTCAATTATTTAAAAAAGTTTCAAATAAAAACTCTAAATTTTAATTATTGTCAGAAATTTAAAAAAAAAAAAAAACTACAGCGGTTTAAATTTGCAGAAAATTTATTTCAAATTTAAAATCTGTTTCAATTTAATTATTTAGAAAAAAAATTTCATTTAAAAATCTGCTAAAACTTAATTATTGTTTGACAATTATTTTTTAATTTGATGAAGTTATTTCAATGGTGAAAGCTAAAGCTGCAAAAGAATTAGAAAAAATAAGTTATAAATTTCCTATAATGGTCAAAATTAAAAATTTTATTTTTTTAACCATCCTGCATGTTTTTAGAACCTAAATGATGCAAGATAGAAAATATAACCTCGTTTAATAATTTAAATTTAAGTAAATCAAAATTGGTCCTCAATTATAATAAATTAATTTCTTTTATATTGACAAAAAAAAATTGTTTTTCAGAATTTGAGAGAAGAAACCGTGAGTTTGAAGAAACCTCTACAAGCTGTTCGATTACAGGCAAATGATCTCGTTAAAGAAGCCGGTGAACAAGGAATAGACGCCACACATTTACAAGACGAAGTTGACAATATATCCGATCGAATTGATGATTTACAGGCAAAATTAGACGACAGATGCAATGAATTACAAAGTGCAGCAACAGCAGTAGCACAATTTACCGATCATTTGAAGGGCATAAGTCAAGAATTAGCGAATCTCGAAAAAGAACTCGATTCAATGAAAGCTCCAGGACGTGATATTAAAACAGTACGCGGACAAGTTGAAGAGATAAATCGTGTTATACACAAAATCAATAGACTCAATGATGAGATTATTAATCTTGTTAGTTCAAGTGAAAATCTCGTTGATTTAGGTTTTGCCGCTGATGCCGTGGCAACACGCGATCAAGTTGAATCATTGAAGAGACAATTGGGAAAATTGGATGATCGTGCACGTAATCGTGAGGAAGAATTAATTGATACTTTAAATAAATTACAACAATTTTATCATGTACATGCCGATATAATGGATGATATTAATGATGCTCATGATCAGGTGAAAAAATTCCGTCCTGTTGGTTCGGAGGTTGATTCAATACGTGTACAGCAGGATGATTTTAGATCGTTGAAATTGCATAAAATTGAACCAATTGCAAGAGCTGTTGATGAGTGTAATATTCTTGGGCAGACGTTGATACAGACGGCTGGTAGGGATGTTAGTACGAGTAATATTGAAAAGGATTTGGATCGTATGAATGAGCGTTGGAATGATTTAAAGGAGAAATTGAATGATAGAGATAGAAAATTGGATGTTGGTTTATTGCAATCGGGTAAATTCCAAGATGCTCTTGATGGATTGGAGAAATGGTTGACGGACACTGAGGAAATGGTTGCTAATCAAAAGCCACCTTCTTCGGATTATAAGGTAGTGAAGGCGCAACTACAGGAACAGAAATTTTTGCGTAAAATGTTATTGGATCGACAGAATTCAATGTCATCGTTGTATACAATGGGACAGGAGGTAGCAGCCGGTGGTGATCCAAAGGAACGGAAAAATATTGAAAAACAATTGACTAATTTAATGGGAAGATTCGATAGATTGACAGAGGGTGCGGCTGATCGTATGGAAGCACTTGAGCAAGCAATGGCTGTGGCTAAAGAATTTCAGGATAAACTTGTGCCACTTGCTATTTGGTTGGAGAGAACTGAGAAGAAAATTAAGGATATGGAACTAGTGCCAACTGATGAGGAGAAAATACAGCAGAGAGTCGCTGAACATGATTTGTTACATGATGATATTTTATCGAAAAAATTGGGATTCAGTGAACTTACGGAAATTGCGAGTCAATTGATGAGTTTGGTGGGTGATGATGAGGCATCGGCACTTGCGGATAAATTACAAGATGTTGCTGATCGTTACGCGGCATTGGTGGAACGTTCCGAGGCACTTGGTAATTTATTGCAGAATTCAAAACAAGGTTTGAGACATTTAGTGTTGACTTATCAGGATTTGCAAGCGTGGATGGACAGTATGGAGAAACGTTTGTCGAGATATCGTGTTTTGGCAGTGCATACGGAGAAATTATTACAACAAATGGAGGATCTTGCGGATCTTACTGAGGAGGTGTCGTGTCGTCAGAATGAAGTTGAGAGTACAACACAATCGGGACTTGAATTAATGAAACATATCTCGAGTGATGAGGCACTTCAACTAAAGGATAAATTGGATTCACTACAGAGGCGTTATAATGATTTAATAACAAGGGGTTCGGATTTATTGAAACATGCGCAAGAAGCCCTGCCACTTGTTCAACAATTTCATGATAATCATAATCGTCTTATGGATTGGATGCAGGGAGCTGAGGCGGCACTACAATCGGCTGAGCCACGTGAGGATGAAATAATACGTTTGGAAATGGAAATTTCGGAATATCGACCCGTATTGGATAAGATTAATGCTGTTGGTCCGCAATTATGTCAAATATCGCCTGGTGAAGGTGCGGCGACAATTGAGGGATTGGTCACGAGGGATAATAGAAGATTTGACGCAATAACAGAGCAAATACAGAGGAAAGCGGAGAGAATACAAATTAGTAAGCAGAGATCAATTGAGGTGATTGGCGATATTGATGAATTATTGGATTGGTTCCGTGAGGTTGACAATCAATTGAGAGAAGCTGAACCACCAAGTAGTGAGCCGGAGATTATAAGAGTGCAATTGAAGGAGCATAAGGCGTTGAATGATGATATTTCGAGTCAAAAGGGACGTGTACGCGATGTGATATCAACAGCGAAGAAAGTTATTCGTGAGAATGCGCAACATGAGGATACATCGACAATTAGAGATAAAATGGAGGATCTTAGGGAGATTATGGAAATTGTTTCGACATTGTCGGCTGATAGATTGGGAGCATTGGAGCAGGCGTTACCACTTGCTGAACATTTGAGGGATACGCATCTTGGTCTTATTAGTTGGTTGGAGGAGGCTGAGCAACAGGTGGCAATGTTACCAATGCCGGCGTTGAGACCCGATCTTATTGCCATGCAACAGGATAAAAATGAACTGTTGTTGCAGAGTATCAATGAGCATAAGCCACTTGTGGAGAAATTGAATAAAACTGGTGAGGCGTTGATTAAATTGATTAACGATGAGGAAGGCGCAAAGGTACAGGATATTCTTGATGCTGATAATGCTCGTTATGCGGCATTGCGCGCTGAACTTCGTGCACGTCAACAGGTTCTTGAGCAAGCTCTTCAGGAGTCGTCGCAATTTTCTGATAAACTTGAGGGTATGTTGCGTGCACTAACATCGACGGCTGATCAGGTGAATGGCGCTGAGCCAATTAGTGCACATCCACCAAGATTACGCGATCAAATGGAAGAGAATGCGGCACTTGCCGATGATCTTGCACAAAGATCTGAGGCATTTGCTGCGGTGAAAAAAGCGGCCAATGATGTTATCAATAAGGCGGGAAATCGTGCCGATCCAGCTGTCAAGGATATTAAACGAAAATTGGAAAAATTAAATAAATTGTGGGGCGATGTGCAAAAAGCGACAATTGATCGTGGACAAACGTTGGACGATACTTTGGCGGTTGCTGAACGTTTTTGGTCGGAATTAAATGGAGTTATGTCAACGTTGCAAGAACTTCAGGATGCTTTGGCTGGACAAGCACCGCCAGCTGCACAACCGGCGGCAATTCAACAGCAACAAGTTGCTTTGCAGGAGATACGTCAGGAAATTGATCAGACGAAACCCGATGTTGAACAAGTGAGACAATCGGGTCATGAATTGATGGGATTGTGCGGTGAGCCTGATAAACCAGAAGTTCGTAAACATATTGAGGATTTGGATCAGGCTTGGGATAATGTTACGGCATTGTATGCACGTCGTGAGGAGAATTTAATTGATGCCATGGAAAAAGCAATGGAATTTCATGAGACGTTGCATGATCTTTTGGAATTTTTGGAAGAGGCCGAAAAGAAATTCTCACGAATGGGACCACTTGGCAGTGATATTGATGAGGTGAAAAAACAAATTAGACAATTGGCCAATTTCAAGGCGGAAGTCGATCCTCATATGGTGAAGGTCGAAGCTCTCAACAGGTATGTTTATCATATTTATTATTGTTTTTACTTTTTTTTTATATATATATAATTTTCGACAAGAATTTTTAATATGATTCCCTTCGAGAGATTTTTTTTTTATTAGAATATCCTCTCCGAGTGTTTTGTGCGTAATTCGAAAAGATTTTTGAGTAGTTAAGAAAAAAATATTAAAAAGAAATTTATTGTTAAGAAATTTTTTTGGGTGATTAAATATATTAGGATGTTCAAAAAAAAATTTTCTCTTAATCTTATTTTTTTATTGTAAAAAATTTAGATAGTTTTTTTTAAAAGATTTATTAGTCAGAATTCTGTTGCAGGATGAAAATTCGTATTAATAGAAAATTCTATCTTTTAAAATTCAGCTAAAAAATTCTTATTATAAATTTTTATATGTGGAAAATTTGATCTTTTTTTGTTTTAAGAATGTAATAAAAACAATTGTATACTTTTATGCAATTTAAAAGTAAAAAAATAGAAGCCTGATGGAATACAAAGTACTGTTTTTTTGAACATCCAATTTAATATATTTTTTGAGTGAGCAAAAAAAAAAGTAATTTTTGCGTTACCAAAAAATATGTTTGTGTGATTAAAAAAAAAAAAATCATTATGAGTAGAATTTTTTTTTGAATGACCAAGAGAAAGATTTTAATTAATAACAAAAAAATATTAATTTTTGCTCGTGATCCTATAATAGTTTAAATTGTATTTACATAAATTTCATGAATTTTGAATAAGAATTTTTTTTGTGGAGAGATATTGATCTAATCAACTTTTTTGTCCCGTGCTGGTTTCCTGATCACAGGAGTCTGACAAGGCAAGTCCATCTCTCTGATGCGTTGTCGCTGTAGTTAGAGCATGGCTTCAAATTCAAAATACAACTTTAGTTTTTTTGTTTATTTTTAATATGCCCGGATACATTGACTAATGATTTTTATTTTCTTTTTGATTGACATTCGTTGGTTTTATTCTTCTTTTTAAAAATAATTGTGTATATGGTTTTGAAAAAAGTGTGGCATCCAATTTTTTTTTTTTTTTTTTTTTGTCTAATGTCAAGAATGTTATAAGATGTCTCCTGAAATGAAAATTTATTATGAAAATTAAATTTTGAAAAAAAAGAATATAAAAATATATCTACTTGATTTTTTTTGGGTAATTTTTTTAATTTAAACAATAATTTGTAATTGAATTTTGTTTTTTTATGCTCATGATTTTAGAGCTTTTTTAAAGTCTACTTGCTACAAAAGAAGAAAAAGAAATCAGCTGAAAGTTTTTGGTCAAAATTTAAAAAATTACTAAAAAAAGGCAATTTTTTACGATTTTTGTTTTGTTTTTTATGACACAATTTCGAATAAAAAGTTTTCTTTAATTTAGTTTTTTTTTGTAACACAGAATTTGAATTTTTTGAGTCATCTTATTCTATTTTTTTTTCTATTTGTAAACTGTTCCACAGCATGCACGAGATACAAAAATGAAAAATATAAAAAATATTTCATGAGAAAACAAAAGATTAAATTTTCTCAAATTTTCATAATTTACAATTATATAGATAATAGTGTTAAAAATAATAGTGACAAAAATTTTATTTGTGAAATTTTTAATATTTTCAATGTTACTATATATAATTAAAAATAATAATTATGAAAAAATTTGAGAAAAAAATAAACCACTGTTGTTTTCACATGAAATGAACCCTGAAAAAAATAAACAACATGAACGAAGACTGAGTTAACAGGGGAAACAAATAAACCAAAAAGGTGTTAATACCGTAAAGATATATTGTTTAATAATTTTTAATAATTGTTGTTTGGTAGCTATGCGCTGATCGGGAAAAAAAACCCCCGCCTTTTTTAAAAAAAATGCTGTAGGTTGTCGTCTCAAAATTATTATTTTGCTCTAAAAGAATTTCAATATTGTAAAAATTAAAAACAAAAACACAATTTAAAAAATTTGGTAATTTTGAATAATTTTAAAAATTCTATTACTTTTCTTCTATATAGGCAAGCAGCTGAACTCACTGAGAGAACATCATCGGAGCAAGCGGCAGCAATTAAAGAACCATTGGGTGCAGTTAATCGACGCTGGGATGCATTACTACGGGGTGTTGTCGAAAGACAGAGACTTCTTGAAAATGCTCTCCTACGTCTTGGACAATTCCAACATGCACTCGATGAACTTCTTGTTTGGATCGATAACACCGATCGTACACTCGATGAATTAAAACCAGTTGCCGGTGATCCGCAGGTTATTGAAGTTGAGCTGGCGAAATTGAAAGTTTTAGTCAATGATATACAAGCACATCAGACAAGTGTTGATACGCTAAATGACGCGGGAAGACAATTAATTGAGGATGGCAAAGGAACAGCGGAGGCTTCAACAACAGCGGAAAAATTAGGAACACTAAATCGTCGTTGGCGTGATTTATTACAACGTGCCGCGGATCGACAACGTGAACTCGAAGATGCATTACGTGAAGCACAATCATTTACTGCTGAAATTCAAGATTTATTATCGTGGCTTGGCGACGTTGATAATATGATAGTAGCATCAAAACCAGTTGGTGGTCTACCTGAAACTGCATCCGAACAACTCGAACGTTTTATGGAAGTTTACAATGAACTCGAACAAAATAGACCAAAAGTCGAGACTGTCCTACAACAGGGACAAGAATATTTAAAACGTGCCGGAGCGTCAAGCGCCGGTGGATTGAATCACAATCTCCGAACATTGAAACAACGATGGGATAATGTGACAGCGAGAGCGAGTGATAAGAAAATTAAATTGGAAATTGCTCTCAAAGAAGCTACCGAATTTCACGATGCGTTACAAGCATTTGTCGATTGGTTAACAAACGCTGAGAAGATTTTAACAAATCTAAAACCAGTTTCACGTGTCATGGAAACAATTCTCGGACAAATTGAAGAACATAAAGCATTTCAAAAAGACGTTGGTGTTCATCGTGAAACAATGTTGAATCTCGATAAAAAAGGAACACATTTGAAATATTTCTCACAAAAACAAGATGTGATATTGATTAAAAATCTATTAATTAGCGTACAACATCGATGGGAACGTGTTGTATCGAAATCGGCTGAAAGAACAAGAGCTTTAGATCATGGCTATAAAGAGGCAAGAGAATTCCATGATGCATGGTCAAATTTAATGAATTGGTTAGAGGACACTGAGAGAACATTGGATGAAGTTGCTGCCGATGGTCTTGGTGGTAATGATCCTGAGAAAATTAAATTCCGTTTACAAAAACATCGTGAAATACAAAAAGCACTAAGTGCAAAACAAGGAAATTATGATACAACAATGAAAAATGGTAAAATACTTAAGGATAAAGCACCAAAATCTGATGAGGCAGCACTTCGTGAATTACTCAATGAACTCAAGAATAAATGGACAATTGTTTGTGGTAAATGCGTTGATAGACAACGTAAATTGGAAGAAGCACTATTATTCTCTGGTCAATTTAAGGATGCAATTCAAGCACTACTTGATTGGTTACAAAAAACTGAGAAACAATTATCAAATACGGGTAATCTTCATGGTGATTTGGACACTGTGACAAATCTTGTTGAACAACATAAGAATTTCGAGAGAGATCTTGAATCGCGTTCATCGCAAATGGATTCGGTGACAAAAACTGGACGTGAATTGGAATCGAAAGCAACATTGGAGGATGCATCAACGATTAGACAACAACTATCGGAACTTCATAGTTTATGGAATACGGTGACGCGTTTGTCGTCAAATAAATCTGATCGTTTAGAAGAGGCATTACGTGATGCTGAACGTTTACATAAGGCGGTACATGTACTTCTTGAATGGTTGAGCGACGCTGAAATGAAATTGAGATTTGCTGGTCAATTGCCGGAGGACGAACAAGAGAGTCGTAATCAACTTATGGAACATGAGAAATTCCTCAGGGAATTGCAATCGAAGGAAATTGAAAAGGATAATACATTGGATTTGGCGAAATCTATTTTTGCTAAAGCACATCCTGATGGAGCTGCTGTTATTAAACATTGGATAACTATTATTCAATCAAGATGGGAGGAAGTTTCCACTTGGGCTTTGCAGAGAAATCAACGACTCGAGGAACACATGCGAGGACTTCAGGTTTGTTTTTTTATAATCAATAATTATAATATTAAATTTATAATTATATTTTTACAGAATGTTTATAAGGATCGTTATCTTATAAATTTTTCTAAATCCGATTCGATGCGAATTCATACAAAAATGCGATTGCAAAATGAAAAGTAGGAGAGTAATATAATGAAAGCTGCGATTTTGTGCTTCCTGCACGCTTCTGCCATCTGACGGCGGCAGAACGTAATGTACCTGTTATTATATTACTTTCCTAATTTTCGTTTTGCAAATCGCGTTTTTGTATGAATTGAAATAATTAATTTTAATATTCAGGTATAGAAGGACAACTAATACAATGGGGTGTCATAAATGGTTTATTATGACTAGACTTTCAGTCGACTCTATTGTTATTATATTTCCTTCTATCCTTATTTTTCTTTTGGAATATTTTAATTTAATATTTGAACATAAAAAAAATTAAATATCTATTTCAAAAAAATATATATTTATTCATAAACGGAACAAAAATTATTTAAAATTTTTGAAGCATTAGAATAACATTTTTCTTAAAAAAGAAAATAATTTTTTTCAATGGTAAAATTAGGTAATTTGTGATCAAAAGAAACAAAATTATGTATCACTTTTTATTTTCATTTCCAGCCTTTTTTTTAAAAAAGAAAAATTATCAACATTTTTAAATTAAAATAAAAAAAGAAAAAATTTATATTCTATTTCAAAAAGTATATATCACTTTTAAGAATTCCTATATTTGTTTTTAATTTTTTTTTAATACTCCCTGCATGCTTCTGCCACCTAACGGCGACAAAACATAATGAAACTGAAATTATATTAGTTTCTTAATTTTCGTTTTGCAATCGCGTTTTTGGATGAATTAAAGTAATTAATTTTAATATTCAGGTATAGAAGGATAGCTAATACAATAGGAGGTCATAAACGGTTTATTACGACTAGACTTATAGTCAACTCTATTGTTGTTTTTGTCACATTTCTCTTCTTATTTTTCTTTTGGAATATTTAATATTTTAACAAATTTCAATTTATTCCAACTTGAACTAAAATTTTTTTTAACCGAATTTTCATTTTATAGATATTTCAATTAAAATAATTTCTATTTTGCGTAATTTAAATAATTGAACTAAAATTTCATTTACAAAATTTTTATTAAATAAAATTTCTATTTAATCAAATTTTATTGTTTTTTCTATTTTTAATTTAACACGATTCTATTTCATCGAATTTTTATTAAATCAATTTTTTATTTATCCGCATTTTTGTTTGATGCATAATTTCCTAATATTAGAATTTTTATTAAACATAATTTACATTTAACAAAAGTTATATTTTTACGAATTTTACAATTATATAATTTTCATTAAATTTCATCACTCCGAATATTTATTTTATTAATTTTCCTTAAAAAAATCGGTTAAAGACAAATTTTACTCAATCTTTGCAAAATTTATTTCTATCTAAATTTTTAAATAAACAAAATTTATTTAGACAAAATTTCCATTTAACAGAAATTTCCTGTAACGGAATTTGTATCTAGTAAAATTTTTATTTAAATCTTTATTATTAACCGTAATTTACCATTTAGCCGTATTTTTATTTATTAAAAATTTCCAAATAGTAGATTTTCCATTTAGCAATGTTCTGTCTAATAAATGTTTCAACAAAATTGCAAAATTCATTTAAATGGAAATTTAGAAATTTAAAATTTTCGGCTAAACAGTTCAGAAGTTTTATCCTGTTGAAAATTGAAATTATAATTAAATTGAAATTTGATTTCGAAAAATTTGTTAAATTAAAAAAAAATTGTTTTTTTTTTTACTTAGGACCTTGATAATCTTTTGGAAGAATTATTGGCTTGGCTCGAAGGTTTGGAGAATACTTTAATAACATTGGAAGCTGAACCATTGCCAGATGATCGTCCAACATTGGAGATGTTGATTGCCGATCATCGTGAATTTATGGAAAATACAAGTCGAAGACAAAATGAAGTTGATCGTGTCTGTAAAGCACGACAAATGAAACCAATCACCAAGGACGGTCGCAAAATGTCCAAATCAAAAACATCGCTTGTGTAAGTTTGCACGATTATTTATTTTTTTTTTTTATTTTCGATTTATTTTTTTGCATTCATTATTGATTTCTTTGTAGGTACTGTTTATTAGTAATTTGTATTGTTTTCTAATTTAGTGAGATTACTTTTTAAGTTTTATTACATTTTTTCCTAGTCAATTATATTTTATTTTTATGTTTTTTTATTTTTTTGTATATATTTTTTTATTTTATTTTATATTTTTTCCTAGTCAATGAGATTTTACTTTGTTTTATTATTTTTTCTAGTCTTTTATTTTTTTAGTCTTTTTTTTATTATTTATTGTATTTTTTTCTAATCTCGTATTTTTTCTAGTCTGTCATTTTTTGTTTTTACTGTGAAGTCTAGTTTTTCATTACGCTAACTAGTGGCCAATTTACAATATTTTTTGCTTTTCTGTATATATTTTTTTCTATTCATTTTTTTTTTTAGGTATTTTTCTACTATATCTGATTTCCTATATAATTGTTCTCAATTTGATATTGTAAAAAAAAATGTCAAAAATCCGTATTTTAAGTATTATGTATAGAAATTTGATCCAATTTATTGTGAATGCACTTTTATAATTATTATATATTTTTTTGCCGCTTGCTTTTGTTTTGTGTTTATCACGAATTGTGTTTGCATGTGCTTTTTCCATGGACAGCAGTAAGGACCATTCTCAAGATTATGATCATGATCATCAACCACTTCGTCGGCAAAGGTGTGACATTATTTTGCTTTTCAAAATAATATATTTTTTTTAATAATTCCACTTTTTAAAACTCAGTCATATTTTCTATTCTTATTTTATTTACATTTTTATTTATTTTAATTAATAATTAATTTAATGTTTTTTTCTCATTTTTTGATCATTGCTTTATTTACAAAAAACAATATTAAAGTCCTAAATTAAATATAATTTAAGTAAATTAAATTTTAATTTAAGCGTTACATGAGCTCTTATTTAAAAAAAAAATTAATGAGACTAAATATTTTCATTTTTGCAATCGTTTAGCTTCAAAGGAAGTCGAGATCTGTCGCAGACGATGCAGCGTGGAAGGTAAGCACTTTTTTTTTTAAATCATACTTTTCACAAACCAAAGCATTTTTTCACACTCACACATGCACCATTTTTTTTTGTCTTGTAGATCAATGTTTTTATAAATTGCTTTTTATAATTGTTTTGTCGGCACATGATGCTCACAAACACGTTTTTTTTCTTTTTCTTGACACGCAAATTCACAAAAATGTCGCTTCATGTCTTTTTTTTTATTCTCGTTGTATACGTCAAAGTTGAATTTGCTTTTAATATTTATAATGAATTTATTCTTTATAGGAGATCGACAAGAAACTACAAAATTTTCTATTATTTTTTCCCACTATTTTATAAACAACAAATAGAAACAAAATTATGAATATTTAAATATTTACGTTATTATATAGGTATACGAAAAAAAATATAAACACATAAGGTTGTCACTTATTTATTTTTAATTTTTATTCGAGTTGAGTTTATTATTTATTTTATATTTTTTATTTATTAAATATTAATATTTTATTATTAAATTTATTAATTAAATTTTTTCAATTTTTTTGTTTTATTTTGTTTTTGCCGTAATATATGAAATAAAAATTAGAATTGAATAAATAAGGGACAACCTGATGAACACTTGTTAAAAACACTGCAAGATGAAAGCTCTTTAAGTGCAGAATTGCGTAGAGATTGTTTTTGAGTGATGTGACGCATGTTCTTGTTTAGCCGTGCCAGCCCAGGTCGCGAGAGAACACCAGATCCTTCATTGCCACATATTGGTCCACGATTCCCACCGAAAGGAAGGTTCGTTTATTTAATATTTCTTTTTTTCCCCCTCATTTTTCAATTTAATTTTATATATTGAATTTCCAAAATTTAAGAGTCCACTTCCTTTTTTCTTCAAAGTTAATTAATTTATTTTCCAAAATAAAACTCGTTTATATTGAAATAAATAAAATTTTTATTTTTAAATTTTATATTTAATTTCTATAGTAATTTATTTTTCCAAAATATATTTTCTCTATTTTTCTTTCAATCTTTTCGAAATAGCAACCACCTTTAAATTTTCAGTGTTACTTGGAAATTAAAAAATTATGTATTTCTTTTTCAAAATTTTCTTAATTAAATTTTTAATAATTTTTTGGTAGTGTTTTTTTTTTTTTTTTAATCAAAAATTCGTGAATCTTTAATTGATTTCGAAAAAAAATGGTAAAAAAAATCTTTTTTCCGTTACTTTAATATAGCAAAGGAGCTGAGCCAGAATTCAGAAATCCAAGAGTCAAGCTTCTGTGGGACAGATGGCGAAATGTTTGGTTCCTGGCATGGGAACGTCAACGTCGTCTTCAGGATAAATTAAACTACATCGATGAATTGGAACGTGTCGCTAACTTCAGCTGGGAAGATTGGAGAAAGAGAGTGAGTTTTTGTCATTTATTAATTTACATTACTAAAGCTTTAGAAAAAAAAGTGAGCCCTCTCCCTCCTGACATTTTTTACGCAATCATAATTTTTTCTTTTTGTAAAAATTACAGTTCCTCAAATTCATGAATCACAAGAAATCACGTTTGACGGATCTTTTCCGAAAAATGGATAAGAACAACGATGGCCTCATTCCACGTGACGATTTTATTCAAGGAATTATGAACACCAGTTAGTATAATAAATAATTAATTTTATCTAACTTGAATTTAAAAAAAAAAAACAAAAAAAAAAAAAATGAAATTTTTGTCGAAAATTGAAAATGATGAGAATAAAAATAAAAATAATTTGCGGAAATTTTTTTAGAATTCGATACATCACGATTAGAAATGGGAGCTGTTGCTGATCTATTCGATCGTCATGGTGAAGGTTTAATCGATTGGAAAGAATTTATTGCAGCATTGAGACCAGATTGGGAAGAAAGAAGAACATATAATGACACTGACAAAATTCACGATGAAGTTAAACGATTGGTTATGCTGTGCACGTGTCGACAGAAATTCCGTGTTTTCCAAGTCGGAGAAGGAAAGTACAGAGTGAGTAATGCAAAATTGAAATTAAAATATTATTAATTTATTTATTTACAATAATAAACGGGCTTGCATAAAATAAAACTGCCCTTTCGTACAAACTAGTATTTAACTAAAAATACAAAAAAAAAATTAACGAACAAAGAAAATAAGTGACAATAACAAAATCAAAATAATAATATTACTTATTTGTTTTCTATTAATTAATTTATTTACAATATTTAACAGGATTATAATAAATAAATAACAAAAATAATTAGAAAAAATGCGAAAAAAATGCGAAATTAAATATCGTTTATTATGTGCACAGTTTGGCGACAGTCAAAAACTTCGTTTGGTCAGAATTCTACGATCGACCGTGATGGTTCGCGTTGGAGGCGGATGGGTCGCTTTAGATGAATTCCTCCTGAAAAATGATCCTTGCCGAGGTAAGTTTCTCATTTCTTGTAAAATTCACTGCATTTATTTTAAATCAAAATCCATTGGAATAATTTTCTTCTTATGGATCTTGAAAATTTAATTTCAATTCAATTAAAATTAATTTAATTAATTTTTCAATAAATATTATAATTAAATTAGTTTTAATTGAATTTAAATTTTTAATATGACAAGTGGAGAGATGAATGAAGAATAAATATATTTCCTACTAAAATAAAATTGCTACTATATATTTTATTGGTACAGTAAAAAAAAAAAAATTCTACAAATAATCAATATTTTATTCTAAGAAAAATTCATCTCTACCACTTAGTTAAATAGTACGTTAATTAAGGTGTGAATTCAATGAATTATTATGAAATTGTTTATTTTCAATTTTTTTTTAATTCAGTAATTGCGAGATAAACCAAGAACCATGCTATTTAATGATAAAATTAATTAATTTTCAAATAATTAAAGTTACTGAGAAATAGTATTGAATAAATATTGAAGTTTAATTAAAATTTAAAAAATATTTTTGGATTTTTAATTCAATAGCTAATTTAATTATCAACTTATTAATAATTTTCAGTGATTTCAATTTTATTTGCTTTAATTATTTGATTATTAATTGAAACCTAAAAAAAAAATTGTAACGGAAAAAAGTAGTCGCGAACTTTTTGACAAATATTTCCCCCTTTCCCAAGAGGCGTAAATTATATTATAAAATATAAAAATTCGTTATTTATGTTTAAAAAAATAATTTTTTTTTATTCAAAACTATTTTTTTTATTGAAAAATATATTTTTTTTAAAAAATATTTTATTATAGACGTGTAATTTTATTTTTTTTTGTTGAATTATTAATTTTTCTTTTATTAATTAAAACTTTTTTTTCACACTCATCGGCATTCATTTTGTGCTGCTGGTGTAATTTTTTTTTTTTTAATTAAAAATAGAAGTAATGCGCTAATCACCATCATTTTAGTTTAGATTCATATACACAAATAATAAAAATAGAGAACAAGCAATTAATATAATAATTTTTATATCTCTGCATTAAAAAATGTGTTTTTTTTCGAGCGGAACTCTCTAAATAATAAAATAACACGTCAGTGCGTTTGTGTGTGTATGATCTCAACTCCTGAGGTAACAAAATAATAAATGTATTAACCAATGATAGAAAAAAATGCCCATCATGACTAGAATGTGTATAAAAAAAAGGGATTTTTTTTTTTTGAAAGTGTGTGTCTGCTATACTATTTTTGCTTTGCTTAGCTCGTAGCTACTTTTTTTTAGACACTGGTTTGGTACATTTTTTTTTTAATTTCTCATATCTCTATCTCTCGGTTACTAATAATTGTTCACTTTTCCAAAAGAAGAAAAATGGAAATTTCTTTTTTAATGATTAAACAAATTTTCAATTTAAATTTGTTTCTTGAATAATTAATAAATTGATTAATAAAAGAATTGAAGTACATTTGGAATTCGAAAAATTATTAAAAAAAATTAAATATCAAGAATTAATTTAAATCAATTCGATATTATTTGTTTTCAAATTTAATTCAAATAATTTTTTTCTATTATACAAATAATTTTATGTTATATTTGAATAAAATAAACAATCCATGAAAATAGAAATAAAAAAGAATTTCCCTTTATGAAAATTGAAAATGAAAAGAAACTTCTTTTGGAATTGTGTTTTCTAATATGTATTATGTAGATAGTTATACGATATTGAACGATCCTTTACTAACATCGAATTTATTGCTTTTTCCTCCTTCCACAAAAAAATTATCCAACCTTGAAAACAAAAATTCCTTTCAAAAAATGTCTTTCTTTCTCTTTTTTTTTGTTTCTTGAAATTGAATGTCATTTTTTTTTTTTTTATTTTCTTTTTCATATTTCATTTTTGTTTATTGTCATCCCTTAATTTGTGTATTCAGTTTTTCTAATGCCAATACCAGATCCTAATAAACCGGAGCAACACGAAGGCTGGTGTCCGCTTGGTGAGACTAATTTGTCTCATTTTTTATTTAATTTAAAACATTTTCATTTTTCATTTATTTTTTCATTTTTTCCTGTAAAATATATAATATACAAAAAAAAGCACTGATTGATTGTGTAGAGCAAATATCGCAAGCTATTTGCACTTGCAAAATTGAAACTAAATTTTCGAAATTGAAATATTATATGACAAAATATTTCCGCTCAATGTTTAATAATAGATTTTGTTCCGATTCTTTAACTGCTCTGATTGCTTCGTAATCTAAAAATACATTGATCTTTTAATAAGAACACCTTGTGAGAGAGTGAGAGAAATTTGCCAGTGAACTTTTAATTCTTTATTTATTATTATTATTATTATTATTTATTTATTTACTTTTTTATTAGAAATAAAAGATAAATAATATTATCTAAATTTTTTTCGAAATTGAATATTCGTAAATAATTATGAGTCGAATTTTTATTTACAATAAATTTTTCATCGTAAACTTTATGAAGAAATATTCATTTTTATACGAATTTCCATATAAAAGAATTTTTTATTTTACCTCATTTGTATTTGATAGAATTTCTATTTAATCGAATTTTTTAAAAATGAAAAATAAGTTTTTAAAAATTAAATTCAATTTTTCTCTTTTATTGTAGAAAAAAAATTTTCATTACACTCAAAAATAGCTTTTAACTTTTTGGCAATAGATTACGAAAATATCTGGCATAGATGAAGAAAATTTTTGCGTTTTAAATTAAATAAAATGTCAATATTCAATTAATTGTCAAGAAAAATTCATTGAAATGAAAAAAAAAATTGTTCATTCAAAAATCATGCTTATAAATGCACAATCACAATCAGATATCAGCTTCCGTAAAAAAATCCTTATCCATTGCATGTTTCCGCACTTTTATTTTTCAAAAAATGTATATATAAACTTTTAATATGATTTACTGTGGGTTTTTAGTTTTTATTAACGGAAAGAAAGAATTTTTTTTAATCAATATTGTTGACTAATATTGTTTGTTGTAATTAACTTTTTCGCGGATTAATATTATTTTGGTGAAAGCGTTTTGTTTTGCTAATTATCATTTGATAAAAATATTAAGAGTCAACGAATGCGAAGTAGTTTTTTTTCTCTTGTATTTAATAGACCTATGATTTTTTATACCGAATAGCTTTTTAGATCTTTTTTTTTTGAAGTCTTAAGTATCCTGATTTTTAGATCGACAAAATGGTATGGTTTTTTTATATAGCATTATTTCAGTTTTGATTTAGCATGGTTTTGGAGTGTAGAAATTACTTTTTTTTTGAGTTATTCTAACCAAAATGTTTTTGTCCTCCTTTGAAACACGAAACATGTCTTTTTTGGTTTATAAAAAAAACCTCTATTTTGCACTTAATTTTATTTATTTAAATATTTAAATGAATTTTTTTTTATTTAAAATTGTTTTAAATATAATTTTTTATTGAAAATATTTTTTCTATTTAGTAATATATAATTTTATATTAGAAAAACAATGTTTAAATTCTTTTTATTGTATAATTTTCTGCTTAATTTGTAGAGAACAATTTTGTATTTAATTTTTTCAAAAGTGATCTCTAATTTTTTATTTGAAATACAAAATTGACAATTGAATTTATTCGACATACGATTTTATTTTTAATTTAAACAATAGTATTTCAATTATTTATTTAGAATAGATTTCTTTTTAGTTAATATTAATAAGTTATTAAAAATTAAAAAATTAATATTATTTAAAAAATAAATTCTCGAAATACAAAATGATTACGTGTTACAAATTGTTAGTTAGTTAGTTAGTTAGAACTTTCGAGTTTCAAGTTTATGTTTTTGCAAATAAAATCACAATTTGCAAAAATATTTACTAAAACGAGAAAAATCTCTGAGATTATTATTATTTATTATTATTGTATAGTTTGTATAATTTTTATGATTTCGTTATTTAAATTTGTTTTCTTTTTTATTTTTCCTTCACATCACATTACACATTCACTCCAACACACATTTCTTTATTCTCTTTTTTTTCTTCTCTTTCGTTCCTTTTATCAAACAAAAATTTTGTAAAAAAAAATATTTTTTTTACAAAATTCTTTTATATCCTTTCTCTCTCTCTTTTTCTCTTTGTCTTTGTGATCGTAAAAATATGTTTCGTTTTTTGAATTATTATTTTTTTTTTTGTTTTGCTTTACGATTTTTTTTCATCTGCTAATTTTTAATCGTGCTCTCTCTATATATAAAAAATCAAAATTTTGTTTTATATTTCATTTGTTCGTCTATCTCTGTCTTTGTACAAAACTATTTTGGCACACTACCTATTTATCCTTGGCATCCTTTAACGCCTTCCTAACTAACTGCGTGCACGCAACACACTGTAGCCAAGGGAAGAACAAATATTGAGCTGAGGGAAAACTTCATATTGGCGGATGGTGTTAGCCAGTCTATGACAGCGTTCAGATCCAAACCAAGTCCCACTTCAACTCTGCAGCGCACGCAAATGTCCTCTGCTGGACCAATCACCAAGGTAACATTCGCCACCCACAAAGTACACGTTCGGGGTTCATCTTCTTTCATTTCTTCTTCTTCTTCATCATCATCGTCATCATTCTTCTTTTTTTTTTGTTTTGTTTTGTTTATTCTATATAAAAACATGGGAATACAATATTTTTTGGATTATAAGCGATGTTTAAAAAAAAAATGTGTTTTTGCTCTCGATTTTCAAAATTTTATCAGATTTAATTTGTCTTCATTCAATTTATATTTTTGAAAAAAATTTAATTCAATGAATTTAGATTTGAAAAACATTTTATTTGATCGAGTTTCCATTTAGCGAAATTTTTATTTAATTGAATTTCTCTTTAGAGAGTCTTTAGTATTTCCATTGAAGATAAATTCTATTTAAATGGAGATTTCAATTTAATAAAATTTTTATTTGATTGAATTTTCATTGCACTGAATTTCTTTTTGAATATAAATTTCCATTTGACAAAATTTTTATTTGGACGAATTTCCATTTAATTAAATTTTTATTTAGTCGAATTTTACATTTAACGTAATTTCTATTTTAATATAAATTTCTATTTAACAAAATTTTTATTTGGCCAAATTTCCATTTAACGGAATTTCTATTTGAATATAAATTTCCATTTAACAAAATTTTTATTTGTCCGAATTTCAATTTAACAAAATGCATATTTAAATATAAATGTTCATTTAGCAAAAATTATATTTAACATAACTTTTATTTGGCCGAAATTCCATTCAACAGAATTTCTATTTGATTATAAATTTCCATTTATCAGAATTTCTATTTAACACAGTTTTTTGGTTGAATTTTTATTTAACAGAATTTCTAATTTCAATATAAATTTTCAATAAAAATTTTTTTTTTTCATTAAATTTCCATTTAACAAAATGTTTATTTAGTCGAATTTCCATTTGACACAATTTTTATTTGACTGAATTTCTATTAAATATAGTTTTTATTTGTTTAAATTTTCATACAGCGGAATTTCTATTACACCAAATTTCCATTTAACAGAATTTTTATTTTGCCGAATTTCTATTTGTTCGAATTTCCATTCAGAAATAATTCTAAAAATAAAAACTCAGCTAAATAAATATTTAGATAAATGGTGATTTGGTGAAATAAAAATTCTTACATTTAAATATTCAGCTAAGAACTTTTACTCAGTAGAAATTATGCTGAATTAAAATTCTGTTATACACGAGAATTTTATTTTTATAAAAATTCAGTTTTATATGAAAAATTTGTTAAATTTAAATTCAGTTAAATATAAATTTTGTTAAATAGAAATATATAAATTCCATTTTATAGTTATTTTGATGTTATAAAATTTTTTCCATATAAAAATTCAGTTAAATGTAAATTTTATAGAATAAAAATTTTGGTACAATGAAAATTATGCCTTTTAAAATTGGGCTAAATAGAAATTTGACCTTATCAATTATTATTCGAAAATCAAAATAAATGTAAATACATATTTTCTTTAAATTTCAATATTTTTAATTAATTTTTTTGAAGCGTTTAAGATGTAGAAAAAAGGATGTGAAATTTATTGTTTTTGATTTTGCAATTTCCTTTTTAGAAATATTTAAAAACGAGAGCAATATTTGTAAAATTAAAAACTGCCGCTTTTTATCCAAAAGTTGTATTTCCATAATTTTAAGCTCATTTTATCATATTTTATAAACACATATCAAGACTGACAGAAAAAAATAGTTCAATGGATGTATTTTTATATAAATTTCTTTTAGCTGAATTTTTTTTATAGAAAATAAAAAATCGAGATAAAAATTTCATTAAAAATTTCATTTGTAAAATTTTATTAAATTTTTTATATTTTTAAATAGTAGGTAACTTTTTTTTTTTTATTAATTTTTTTAATTTTCATTAGTAGAAAAAAATTTTACATTTTAAAATTTTTTCCATTTTAAAATTAATTATTCTTATTGTTTTAAATTTTGTTTCTTTTTTGAATTTTAATTTATTTTCTCTTCTTTTACAACTTAATTAATTTTATTTTAATTTTTTTCTTCTTTTCATTTTTATTCTCGTTTTTTGAAACTCATTAAAAATTGTACAAAACTCTTTTTTCTCAATTGTTGCAAATTTTAACAAAATAAAAAAAGAAAATCTTTTTCCATAAACAAATTTTTTTCTGTCATTCTTTAATATGAGCTAAAAAACAAAAAAAAATGCTGCACCGCACAAATCTCATGAACAAAAAAACCTTCAACAATTTTGGTAAGTAAAAAGGAATTTATAGTAAAACCGGAAGGATCTTCGCATGAGCATGTCCTTATAAAAAAAAACCGTCGAAATTTGTTTGGATTTCGTTATAATTATTGCTTCTTCTCTTCTTCTTCTTCTTCTTCTTCTAAATCTCTCTTCAATTTCTTTTTGTAATAGTCTGTAAATTTTGGGCTGGTTAAATAATTTTGGTGAAACTACAACGCATGCGATCAAGATTTCCCATATAAATTATATTTTCCCTCTGACTCCATAAATGGACCCAAGAGTGTGACGTTCGATTAGCACCTCAGGAGATGTGATGATTTCAGGAATGTGTCAAAAAAAAAAAAAGAAAAAATTTTTTTTCCCTCTTCCCCGTTTCTTTGAACAAAATTTTGTGTTTTAAATTTTTGAATCTGGTCACGGGAGAAAAATGCAGGAAAATTTTTTTTTTTTTTGGTATTTGAAACAAATGATTTTTTTTTCTCACGTGTTTTATTATTTTTTTGGCCATCGGGGCTTAAATTGTTTTGGTTTATGGTGCGTAGCGGAGGAGTTTATGAACCAGCTGATGCCGATTTTTGAGAGTTTGAGGCAAAAGGAGGATCTTCCGTGCTCGTATCCTCTCCACATGCACGCCCCCTCTTACCACTGGGTAAATAACTAAAAAAAAAATAAAAAAAAAAATTATTTTCTCTACAGTTTCTGCTGTGCCGTTAATTGAGTTTTTTTTTTAATTTTGCTGTTTTGTTTAGGTGGTATTGCATATATTGAAGTGTTTTTCTTTTTTTGCATCTCGTATCAATTTTTCCCATTACCCTTTGCGATGCTTTAATTTTTTTTTCTCTCTAGCTTGTGGCATGATATTTTAGATTTTATAGTGTATTTCCTTTTTTCAAATCCTAAAAGTAGCTGATTTAAAAAAAAAAGTAGTGACTCTTATATCTCATTCGATTTTTCATTGTTTCTTTTGTTCTTTCCTATTTTTTATTATTGTTTCCTATATTTATTTCGAATTTTGAACTCTTTGGATTGTATTTTCTTTTTTAATTTCATTGAATTCAAAAAATAAGCCTCGAAGTCACTACATAGTCTGTCGCCCCCCCCCCTTTACCCCCAATTTGGAAAAGTGTCGTCTCGATTTGAAAAATACGAGCATGTGTACAATTTGTGTAAACTTTTTGCTGTCTTGGGGATAAATTGAAAAGAAAAAAAAAATTCGATGAACAGGCATTTTTTTGGGTTTTGAGAAAGTAACATTTCTTTTTAGACTAAAAAAACCAATTAAGCACTAAAAAAAATAAAAAAGACATAAAGAACCTAAAATTATTATTATTATTATAAAATTTTATATTTTTTTTTCTTATTTTGTTAAAGGATTTACAAATCCATACAAAGCAATTTGATATTTACATTTTTTTTTAAATTTTATATTTTTATAATTATTATATTATAAAATATTTTACTAATTTTATTGTTTTTTAATTGTTCATATTTATAAATAGATAAACAATTAAAAAATAATAATACAAAAAGTATAAAATTAATTAGGAAATTAATTTTTTTTTTCTAAAAAATTTTTAAGGGAGAAAAAAAAAGTTTTGCATTTTACAAACTCAAAAAAATGTCTGATTATCGAAGTAAAATTATTCTTCTCAGTGTGTGCGGTTTTGAAATATTGTCTGATTATGAAGTTAGTAATTTTTTTTTATTGTTTCCCATACGAGTGAATTTGGAAAAAAAAATTTCATTTCTATGGGAAAGGTAATTTTTTTTTTTGGTAGTTACTAATTGGTAGTAAATGGAATATTTTTTGCGTAACAATGTCATTGTTAATATGCGTGCATAGTGGCGTTGATCGGAGATACTTCGAATCATCATAAGCTACTTTATCTCTCGCAACTTCTTTTGGTAAGTTTGCATGCCGCTTCTATTAGATCAAAATCAATTTTAATTATGGTAAAAAAAAATAATTATCGATAAAATTCGTAGTTTTTTTTTAAAAAAAAAAAGAGTATAAAAGTAGTTTATTTTTAAAATCTGAGTTGTCGAAATATTCACTTTTTGTAATTTTAATTCCACTTTGTTTTTTGGTATTTATTTACTTTTTTCAATTTTTTTTTATTCATTTTTTCAGTATTTATTTACTGTTTTCAATTTTTTTTTTGCATTATTTCGAGTTTTCTTTTTTGTCTTTATTGCATTTGTTCGATTTATTTATTTAATTTATTTTTTTCGTACATTTGTAAAATTTGTGTTTGAAAAAAAATACGAGTAAATTTTTTATTTTTAAAGTATCGTAAAAAAAATGATATAATATTTGAATACATTTAATTGGTTTGATTATTTAATTTTTGTTATTAGTTATTTTTACAATTAGTTAATATTTTATTAATATTGTCAAATATTTGTCTGAGTAGAAAAGTTGTTTTTTTTTAGAATTTGAAAAAGTAAAATGTGAGTTGAGTTTGAAATTACCATAAGTAAAATTGAATTAATTTACTATTATTAAGTAGAAAAAGTATCAATTACTAGGAGCTGTGGGTATGTACTATTTTATTATCTATATTTTCATTTCAATCACGCAAAAAAATTCTAATTACATTTACAAGTTTTTAAATAATTTCCATAGTCACTTCTAAACATTATATATTATGTAATCTAAAATATTTTAAATATTAAATTAAAATATTAAATATTAAATATTATTAAATATTATTTCATTTATTCTTTTAATATTTATATTTGAAAATAGAAAAAAAATCAATAAATGAAAAGAAATTTTGTTTTCTCTCTCTTTTCGAAAGATGAAAAATTTGACTGTAATCGAGTGTTTATAATTTATAAATGTATAATTTTTTCTTTTTTTTTATTGAAATAGGTGAGAGAAAGAAGTGCTCGAAGCGTGCCGATGGGAACGACAAGAGCTTCGCGAACATCTCTAAGTGCAGGAACACCGGATAGTCTCAGTGACAATGAAACATCTTTCAAAACTCCTGTGAGAAAGACAAGTACGTCGTATAGAAGTACATTAACTCCAGGTAACTAACAAAAGCTTTAACTAAATAATTGCTTATAATATTAAAAATTTATATAAATAAGAAGAATAATTGCTTATATTATAAAAAACAGAAATAATAATTATAATTGCTTTTAATATAAAAAAAAACTTATAGAATTAATAATAATAACTGCTTTTTGCTATTATTAAAAATAGCAATAGAATTTGATTTTTTTTTTTTACAAAATTTTATATTTTAAAGGTGGAAGTCGTCCATCAAGCCGACCAGCTTCGAGACCGGCTTCAAGACCTGCGAGTCGACCTGGTAGCAGACCTGCTTCCAGACAGGGTAGTCGATATGGTTCGTCACAATCTCTAGACAGCACTGGTAATTAAAAAAAAATTACATAATTTTTAATTAATTAAATTATCATGGTGATCACTATCCGTCAAAAATCCGGAATTATAATTACATTTTTACATTAAAAAACAAATCTATTTATTATTAAAAAATAAATTTACGAAAAGTCATTCTATAATATCAGTAAAGTTTTTATTTATTTATAACTAATATTATTTTATATTTGATTATTCAATATTTCTACTCTTCAGATATGATAAGATTAAGTTAATAAAAATATCCGATAGATGTCGCCTAATTACCATTTTCATAATTAATTCTAATCATGAAATAATATTTGAAAAATTATAATTTAGAAGTATTTAAAATTTGTCGAAACGATTCTTAAATTTTATTACCTTGATACCTGTGATACCTGTGATACCCGAGATTTGTTTATATTAAAGTATACAAAGGACAAAATAAATTAATGGTGATAACAATAGGAATAGAAAATTTCAAAGATAATTAAATTCATTTTCCAATTCGTGTATTTATATTTTGTCAAAAAATGTCGTAGTTGAGAAAAATTCAATATCTCAAGGCTAGAAATATATTTTTATACAATAATTAAATGTAATTGTTTTACTACAAAATTTTTTAAAACAAATTATGCATTAATTTATTTTTATAAGAAGGTTTATTAATATTATTTTAAAAATTAAATACTATGGAAAAACCTATTTTTTCTAAATAATAATAATAATAAAAATAAAAATGTGCACATTTATGTTTTGAAAATTCCAAAAATAATTAATTCTATTTTTTGTGAAATAATATTTGAAAAATTATAATTTCCAAGTATTTAAAATTTGTCGAAACGCTTCTTAAATTTTATTACCTTGATACCTGTGATATCCGAGATATGTTTATATTAAAGTATACAAAGGACAAAATAAATTAATGGTCATAACAATGGGAATAGAAAATTTCAAAGATAATTAAATTCATTTTGCAATTCGTGTATTTATATTTTGTCAAAAAATGTCGTAGTTGAGAAAAATTCAATATCTCAAAGCTAGAAATATATTTTTATATAATAATTAAATGTAATTGTTTTACTACAAAAATTTTTTAAAAATATTATGCATTAATTTATTTTTATAAGAATGTTTATTAATATTATTTTAAAAATTAAATACATACTATGGAAAAACCTATTTTTTCTAAATAATAATATTAATAGTAATAATACAAATTATTATCACCTTCATATTTTGAAACTTCCAAAAATAATTAATTCTATTCCTGAAATAATATTTGAAAAATTAAAAAATTTCCAAGTATTTGCAATTTGTCGAAACAATTCTTAAATTTTATTACTTTGATACCTGCGCAACCCGAGATTTGTTTACATTAAAGTACAAATGATAATTAATTCAATATTGCAATTCGTGTATTGACCCATTTATATTTTGTTAGAAAATTTAATAATTGAGGAAAATTCAATATAACTACTTTAGGATTTAAATCATTTCACAAAATATAAAATTTATTCTTGGTTTTTCATAAAAAATTTTTTAAAATATTATGCATTAATTTATTTTTATAAGAAGGTTTATTATTTTAAAAATATTACCGTAGAAAAACTTATTTTTCTAAATAATAATATTAATAGTAATAATACAAATTATTATCACCTTCATATTTTGAAACTTCCAAAAATAATTAATTCTATTCCTGAAATAATATTTGAAAAATTATAAAATTTCTAAGTATTTGAAATTTGTTGAAAAGGTTTTTAAATTTTATTACCCTAATACCTGTGTGACCCGAAATTAGTTTACATTTAAGTAGAAAGGACAAATTTTAAGTTGATGGTCATAACAAATGGAAAATTTCAAAGATAATTAAATAAATTTTGTAAAATTATTAAAAGCAAAATTTAACTTTTCTAAATATATTATATTATATCGAAATTTTTAAAATCGGTGATCGCTTAAACCTAAAAATTAACCTTTCATTACTTTAAAAACAGAAAATTTTTTTATTTTAAAAATTTCAAATTACGTACAAAGTATTGGAAATGTTTTTTATTTTTAAAATACAAATAATCAAAAATAAAAGGTGAATAATTAAATTACTATTTTTTAAATTAAATTTAATATTATTGAAAAATAATTAAGGATGTTCAATCTATTGACATAACTTGAAAGTTATTTTTAACAACAAAAATAAAGCAGTAATGTAAATTAATTTCACCAAATTTTGAAAGATTCAGTTTTGTATAATTTTCAAAAAAAAATTAAGAATGTTAAATAATTATTATTTGACTACAATTTTTGGTTCAAAATTATTTTTTTTATTGTACAATTGGATTTTTGAAAATTTAGTAAAATTAATTTTAGTTATAGTTTTATTATTTGATGATAAAATCAATTTTTGGTTTAAGGTTATGTTAAGAGGTTGAACTGCCCTAAAAAATGAAATAAAATATGGTAAATGATAATAAAAAATTAAATTTAATATATAGGGTAAATGCACTAATTACGGTGTGATTCGAGTAAAAAAAAAACACCTTTAAAATAGAAAATTCATTTCTATTGTATAAAGTAAATTTAAGACTTATTAAACTAAAAGCTTATGTTATTTAGATATTAAAAAAATTTTAACTTTATAAAAATCGATTATTTAAACAAATATGAGAAATTAAAACTAATACCATAATTTTCTATTACGGCGCGTTTGTATTCGGTGTATCAAATACGGTGACCAAAATTACGTGTATTTTAAAGACACTTTGCCCACCGTAATTGAAGCAAATAGAAATCTTAAAAATGTTTCAATTACGGCGAGGGAAAAAATTTGATCTCAAATAATTAAATTAATAATTGTTTAAATGTCCATCTTTATTAGTAATTGTATCAAAAAAAGATTAAAATAATTTTTTTTTAAATCATTTTGCAACAGTTATATTAGATATAATAGTAATAATAGTTATTTTTTATAAACGCGCCGTAATTGATGTACTTACCCTATGTATTTAAAAAATATTTCGGATTTATGAGTAAAAAAATATAACCAAAAAATGTAATAAAAAGACAAAAAAAGATGATAAATTTTTTTTTTAAGACGATTCTGCAACTCCAAGCCGTATTCCGAGAAGAACAGTGGGAACGACTGGAAATACACCAACATCAAGCAGACACAACAGCATTTCGGGCAAGAAGTTGGGAACACCGATGAACGGTTCCAGTTCCCGGCCCCGTACTCCGACAGGTCTAATTAGTCCTGCAAGCGGATCAGCTTCAAGGTTTGTTTCATTTTTCAATTTAGTATAAAAAATGTAAATAATATATTTTTTTATATACCTCAAATGAAAACTATTTTATTAAAGCATTATTGAAATGATTAACTTAATTAAAATTTGCATCCACTGTGAGAGGCAATTAATAGATTGCAGCTAAAACAAATAACACAATCCTATATACTCACTTTTCTTTATAATATTTAAATTATTTTTTTTTAAATTATTTGAATTTGAATTTTTTTTTTTTTATTAGTTTGTTTTTTTCTCTAATAATAACTGGTCGTTATCCACTCCGCCAACTGTAATTTATATAAAGACAAATTTTTCCATTTCAAATAAAATTATTGTCTTAAAATAAAATGATTTTCAATGGATTGACCTATAAGTATAAATTAAAATAGTTTAAAATTTTTTGTTAATTTTATAACCGGAGGCTTGGGACTATTATAAAAAAAAAAAAATTAAAAACATAGACGCAATAATATAATGTAAAACTTAATTTCATTATAATTTCTTAACTAATATTGAAGCTAATTGCAGCATTTAAAATAAATTAAACAATAACACCGCTTAAAAAATAAATTTTTTAGGTTTAGCTCGATTCATCGAGCCTCGAGTATACCAACCCTGTCTGGTGTCGGAACACCAATTAGGTAAAGCAAAATAATAAAAAATATTAACCATTCTCATGAATAATTACGCAAACATATTAAAATATTAGCTTGTTTCTCTTTCTCGTTAAAAGTTTTGCTCCAAAAAAAAAGTAATATGCCAAAAATCATTTGCTTTAGTAAAATATTAGTGCTTGCAAAATTAATTCAGTTTGAATTTTTCGTATAAGAAAAAACAGTTTTCTTTTACGTAAGAACGTCAGTATTTAATAGAAAGTTGGTGGTGGTGTGGTTTTATTGTTTCATATTTATGTTTGTTTTGGAAAATATCTTTTCTTCTTTTAGTTTTGAATTATTTAAATACTAAACGCAATAATGAATGATTTCCGTTTTCGTTTAATTTGGTTTTGTCTTTTTATTCTATTTATTTACTTAATATAAATAAATACCTTTTCATTAAAGAATTTTTTTTATTAATTTATTTTGTTTAAAAAAAAACTATTTTTTTACTATCAAAAATTACTTCCATGAAGGTGGAATTGTTTTTCACAGGATCAAAAATGTCATATTATTTTTTTTTTTAAAGATTTTCGGTCCAAATAATGCCTTGAGAAATACTTTTCAAAGTATTATGTTGATCCAAAACCTTTTTAAAAATGATTGGATATTTTTGGTCCTGTGAAAAATAATTTTCGACTCTGAGCGACGAGGCTAATTTCATGGAGGTAAAAAAAAATTATGTTTTTTCACTTTCCCCTAATTATATAAAGAAAAAGAAATAAATAAACATGAAAATCCTTGAAAAACTGACATTTTCGTGGTTAATGATTTAGCCGCTCTAGGATTCCTGTCTATGTTGGACCGGAAATAAAATCCCCTCAATCTACGACCAGCAATATTTCAACTCATTCAACTCAAAGCAATCATTCTACAATTTCTACTGATTCCAATGGGTATGCTGGATGGTTTGGTCTTGGCTTTTCTCTGTCATTGTCACGTCTTAATTATTAATCGTCTGCATGTCTCTTTTTCTTCATGAGGGAAATTTTTTTTTAATCAATATTGAAAAAAAAATGTAATTTTTATTTTTCTAAATATTATTTAGAACTTTGATAATTGAATTATTTTATATTTCAATATTGAAAAAAATGGAAAAATAAAATTCTTCTTTCTCGTAGAGTGAGAACAGGATTTTTTTTTTATCAATTGTCAAATTTTAATGTGAAAATTTCATTAAGTTTTAGTAGTACATAGTAGAAGTAGTTAAGTTTGTGAATTTATTTTTAGATTTTAAAATCATTATCGTTTTCTGTACCTCAAATTCATCTGCTTGCTGCATGTGCTTTATAACAAATATATTTTTGTTGTTTGGGAAATAATTTAATTTTTGATTCTGGATTAAAACAATTTTCAATATTTGTGGCATGATTTTTTTTATGTTTGTGTATTTAAATCAAATTTTTTAATACCAAAACAAATTTTTTATTTTTCACATCCATTCGTTTTCGATTTTTTTTTAAATTCACACTATTGTTTTTAATTTTGATTTCTAGCTATATATATATTTTTTAAATAATTCGAGAGATGATTTCTTTTGATTTCGATTCAAAAATAGAAGATTAATTTTTTAAAAATTGTAGTTTATAGAAAATAAAATTTTTGATATGTAACAATTGAAGAAAAAAAATTTGTAATTTCACAAACAATGCTTAATTTTTTTTTCAACTCTGGTATATGGACTAACAATTTTTTTTCGCAATATCAGGAGCAACTCTGCCCGCACGAGTTCGGCAACTAATATTCCATTGGCTATCAAAAGCAATAGGTAATCTCATATATATGATTCATGTTTGGTTTGTGTTTCGTCTTTATTAAATAAAAAAAAAAAAAACTCCTCCTTAATATCATTGCTGTAGAATCCAAATAAGTGAGAAAAAAAAATTCCACAAATTATTTCATCCTCATAATTTCTATTATCAATTACATTATACATTACTGTAAACAATTTTCTTATTAGCTTTCGTGTGCTTTTCCTTTATACAAACAATCTTTCTTTCCACGTCTTTTTTCTTTCTTTGTTTTGTATATTTGAAAAGAAATTTTCAATTGTAATCGATACAGTTATTTTGAACTAAACAAGAGAAAAATTACTTTTTTTAAAAAATCATATTTTATTATATTCCACTCAAAGAAATGAAATTACTTTCATTTATTTTTCGAAAATTTGATACCTACTTTGTAGGAAATATTTCGGACTTCATGAGGTCAAATTTCTATGTTACCAAATTTTAAGATGAATGAAATTTTATATTTTATATTTATAATTATCATGCATTTCGACTATTTTTGTTCAATTGAATATTATACAATACAAATCTTCTTTATTTCAATTATTTAACAAATTTTTAACTTAAATTTTTCTCTAAATTAATTATTATTTTTAATATTTTTAATGAAATTCTTCACAAATTCAATTATCTTAAATTATTTTTCAGTAACAATTTTATGAAAATCAACAATTGCTAATAATTTTAAAAAAAACCAAATAAAATTATCAAAAATTTTCAATTTAAAACCTTTTAAAAATTAAAAATTAAAAAAAAATTTTTTAATTTTCCATCTAAAACTTTTTAAAATTTAATAATTTCATTATAACTTTTCCGAAATTCAATTATTCTTAATGATTTTTATAATATTCTTCAAAAAATTTGAAAGTATTTTCGAGCATTTTTCAATTAAAAAGTTTTAAAGTTCAATTTTTGTCTTTAATTTTTAATAAATTCTTTTGCAACAGAAATTATCCAAAAAATTCCAATTCAAAATCATTTGAATTCAATTATTTTCAAAAACTTCATTTTAAAACCTTGTAAAAAATTATTTCTAAAAATGAAAATTGTAACTCTTTCAAAATTTAATTATTTTAAATGATTTTTATAATATTTTTCAAAAATTCAATTATTTGATACCTTTTTTCAATTAAAAACTTCTGAAATTCAATTTTTGTCTGTAATTTCTAATAAATTTTTCATCATCAAAAAATTTCAATTCAACATCACTTGAAGTTTAATTAATTTCAAAAATCTGAATTGTAAATCTTTAAAAATTCAATTACATTCAAATAATTTAATTAAAAATTATTTTCAATTCTGTAAAATTTAATTATTGTCTGAAATTTAACAAAATCGTTTGAAATTTCATTATTTCTAAAAATTTCAACTATAAATCTTCCAAAGTTCAATTATAATTAATAATTTTTATATTTCTTTAAAAAATTAATTATTTAAAAAAAGTTTCAAATAAAAACTCTAAAATTGAATTGTTGTCAGACTTTTTTTTCGAAATTTGTCCTACTTAATTAAAATTTTAAAAATTAACGTCTTTGATTCTGAAATATTTAAAATACATTTTTTTAAATAATATTCCTATAGAATTATTTTGATTAAGGAGTTAATAAAATTGATTTAATATCTGATAACATTAATTATTTAAAATAAAATAATAATTTATTAAATTTAATTAAAATAAAAAAAATCAACTTTTTTTGTAATGTAAATCGACTAAAACGATTTTTTGCGCCTTAAAGTTGATCCGAGTCTTGTAAAAATGTAAATTATTATAAAAATTAGAAGTTATGTCAGATAAAAGTTCAAAGTAATCAAAATTCTGATAAATAGTAATTAATAATTCTTTGGGTGGAATGTAATATTAAATGACAATAAGAAAAGTACAAATAACTATAATTCAATTTCTTACTGCACGTTTTTATATTTAAATGTTAAAATAAAAATGAAAAATATAGAAAAATTGTATAAAATTTGTAATTTTTTTGTTTTTAATTTTCAGAACAAAAACATCGTCCAGTGGAACGAGTACGCCTCTACCTCCGTCATCAAAATTATCAAGGAGACCGTCCGGTGCATCAGACATACCATTATCAACGCCTATTTCACGAAAAGGAAAGCCAACACCAATTGAACAGAGACAACCCTTTAGATTATAACCAATTATTAACGACAAAAAAAAATAAAAAATAATAATATATAATAAATCCTTGCGGATGCTCGAAAAATGAAAAAAAAAAGAAGAGGGAGAAGATAGTCACGCTTTTGAATAACTGTACAGTCGATAAGAATTTTTAGATATATAATCTTTAACGAATAACACTTTTAAAAAAAAGAAAGAAGAGGAAACAAATCGAAGATTAAAAAGCATAATCGGTAATATAAACGTCAGATTTTCTATCGGTATGCGACTAACGTTTTCTGTAAACGCTCGTCGCATCGTTGTTACACTCGTATTCCCCAATTATTAAGAAAATTCCCTCGCTTTTTTCCCCTCCCTATATAGAAAAATAAAGTGAGTTCTACGTTGTATGTAAAACTTAAGAATGAGATACAATTATTTATATATATGTGTATAAAAAAAAAATACAGCGGGGGAATAATTTATCAAGAGTAATATTTATAAGAATCTCGTTAATTCCACTGAAGAGTTTTTTTTTGAACTCTCAATTTGGTGGAGGATAATATTGTTGTAAAAAAAAAGAAAAGATTATGAAAAGCAGTCACTGCGCGTGCTTAAAGCGTATTATTATTATTATTATTATTTATTCTAGAAAAATCGAGCTCTGGCTCGTAATTTATATATATATATTTTTTTTTATTTCTTTGCCAATATTCGCAATTTTTCACGAAAATTTGGCGTTTAATACTTTTTTTTTAAAAACTGAAATTCCTTCTGTATAATAAATATATATTTATATATATTTTTTTCAATGATAAAAGACATCTGCGATTAACAAAAGCAGGCGAGATTTGAAAATGTTTCGTTGGGTAATTATCGTCAAGTCAATTTCGGGGGTAATAACATCAAAAAAAAAATGACATTGACTTTACGATTAGAACTTTACGAAATTTTGAACTCGCTTTGTTTTTTTATTTTAATTAAAAAAACCGATTTAACAATATTAATTCGTTCGATCGCCGAAAAGGATTAACGATTAATATCGATAAGTTTTTAGGCTGCCTAGATTTACTCATTTTTATAAACTGTAATATTATTAATGCTAGTGAACGTAAGTGTTTATACTATATTTACATATTTATAGAATATTATTTAATGCCATCGTTTTTTTCCGCCGCTCCTCTCATTCCTTGGACGAGAAATTTGAAAATACTATATACATTTTTCTTCTCTTTTCTGTTTTGTTATTTAAGAGAGAGCTTATTATGTGCATTGTTAGAGACAAATAAACGTCAGATAATTCTTTGAGATAATTAATTCTCAATTCATCAAAAGTTAAATAAAAAAAAAAAATAAATAAAACGGGGAGCGAAATTTTGTTCAGAGGTGAGAGAACATATTCTGTAAATATTGGTTGATTCTCTTGCCTAAATTTATATATATATATATCCCTTGCTTTCTTTAAAAAAAAACAATTCATCTGACGTTAAAATATTGTAGATGAAATTTTTTTAAAAAAAAAAAAAGAAAATCAAACTTAGTCTTACGTTTCTAACGGCACAAAAAAAACATGTACCGATTGTTTTTGTTTGAAAGTTTTTCATTTTTTTAATGTCCATGGATAGCATGGATTTTTTTTTTGCGTTTTATGATGATACATATACAAGGCTTTGTTGTATTATAAGACCTTATCCGATTAACCATGTGGGTATCGGATTAAGTTCACAAAAAGACATTTCCATTATATTTTTTTTCTTTTTTTTTTATTTTACATTAAAATGCAATTTCTTGTAACTTGACGGAAAAAGATTCCGTATTGTAATAATCTAATGTGATTAATGTATTAACAAATCTTACACAATAATTTTTCTTGTTTTTTTTCGCCTGTCAAATTCTGTATCGTCGCTAATTAATGCTGTGAAGAAATATACATATATATGTGTATATATGTATGTGTATGCAAATATATATCTATATTGACCAATAGTCAATTGAGTTTTTATTTATCAAATTTTAATGGATCACGCGCCATTTCCAGCTGGGCCAATCAACATCCAGTGTTCTGAGCGGTGAGTGTGTTTTTTTTATAGAAGTTTATAAATTTTCTGCCTTTTTTTAAATTTGACTTTCTTCTTAGCAGCTTATAAATTTTTAGACTTTTTTTTATAACAGTTAAAAATTTTAAGACTTTATTTTATAGAAGTTTATAATTAATATGTCATTTTTTATAGACGCTTATAAATTTTATGAACTTTTTTTTATTGTCCGCCAAACTTAATAAAAAATTTTACTTGTAACAAAACTAACAAGATAAGATACGCCAAACAACATCAGGCAATTATGGAAAGAATTCAATATTGATATCAGAAAAAGATTTACTATTACTTGTGCATAAAAAACTGCAATTTTGTTCATTGAAGAATTCAAATTTGAATGGATTGCGCGTCACTTCCCGAAGAGTAATATTTTCAGCCAATCAACGGCCGGCGTTCTGTATTCCACCACTTTTACAGTTGCGCGCCATTTCCAGCTGAGCCAATCAACTTCCTGCGTCCTCTAAATCGACGCGCGCTACTTTTGTAGCAGAGTAATATTATTAACCAATCAACGTCCGGCGTTCTCCGTTCCACCACCTCCAGCGTCGCGCGCAACTCCCGCGACACTTGTCGAGTCTTCGTCCATTTAGTCCGCCATCAGCCACGTGCCAGCAACGTTCCGAATTTTTGGTGAGTTTTTCTCAATTTACTTATCCCAGATACCACCCCCTTTTCCATAAAGTTAACCATGTAAAGTTCCTTACTTAACTCTTGTTAACTTCCTGTTAAATTCCATGCATGTCTATATATTTCCTTTTTTTTTCTTTCCTTTGTTAACTTTCTAGTACTTATCAATTATTTACTAGAAAAATGCAAAGGATTTTTTTTGAAATATTAAAGTCTTAAGTTTTAAAAATTGTAGTTTTAAATTTTTTTTTAAAAAGTATTTAATCAAAGTACTTTAAATAATTGCATTTGAATTTCTAAAAAAAATATAAATTTCTGGCAAATGGGACATTCTACTTGAAGCGGACAAACCCCTTCTGTTTCTTTTTAATATTAAATTTTATTAAATAAATTATTAAAATCTAAATTAAATATTAAAAAATTTTTAAAATAAATTAAATTATTAAATATTATTATTATTTTATTAAAAATGCACCAGTCGAAGAAAAATAGATGAATATTTTGTATTAAATTTAATAACTTTGAAGTCATTAAATTTAATACAAAATATTCACCTACTTTTCTTCGACTGATGCATTTTTAATAAAATAATATTTAAAATTAATAATATTAAAAAGAAACAGAAGGTATTGGTCCGCTTTATCTTGAAAGCCCCAAATGTCTGTAGATAAGTTTAATATATTTATAATTTTATAATATTTATTTATATATAATACATTTTTACATTTTGTACTTAAATAATATTTTTGTATGAATATTATTAATTAAAAAATGGTTTGAAAAAATAATAATATAAAGATTTTTTGTTTGTTTGGACTATGTTATAATTCATTTTATTTATGTCACTGTTGGTTTGTTTATTAAAAAACTAACAATCATCTGAAAGAGTATCATTTAAAAATATATATCAGAATATTGTAAACTTCAGAATGTTGAATTACAAAGAGTTAGTAAAGTGTTGTATAAATATTAAAATATCCGCCCTGATTAAATTTTTGGTGCGAAAGTTTACCAAAAATTAAATAAGGGTGGACATTTAAATATTCATAAAACCCTTTATTAAACCTTGCAACTCAATATCCTGAAGGTTTAACTTAAAGATTTCTAATAAATATATAACTTAAAATATAATTTTGTTAGTAGATTTGATTTTCTCTCTTCTTCAGATGATTGAGTAGTAATCCGATAATAAACAAGACAATAAAATAAATAAATTAATAAACACATTTTTAATTGTAAATTATAATAATAAATAATAGTAAAAACAACATTAATAATATTAATACAAAAATACTAACTAAATAAATAATGTAAAAAGTATGTAAATAAATATCTTAAAAAATATAATTAAACTTATCTAACTAATTTTATTGTCAAAGAAATTCAAATGTAAATAAAAATTAAAAGTACTTTGAACAGATACTGTTGAAGAAAAATTTTAAACTAAAAATAATCTGTAAAACTTAAAACTTTAATAATTCAAGAATAATCCTCTGGATTTTGAAAGTAAATAAACAATGATAAGTAGTAGAAGAAAACAAAGAAAAGAAAAAAAGGGAGATAGACATGTATGGAAATTAACGGGAAACGACAGAGTTAAAACCGGGACAGACCATGGTTAACCGAAGGAAAAGGGACCGGTAGAAGGGAAGGTAAGAGAACAACTCCACCAAAAAGACGGACAGGAGGTACGTGGCTGAGGAAGGAGGAAGGCAAGAGGCGATAGGAAAAACAATATATTTATTGAGAAACAACATATTTATTTATTCAATCATTTTTAACATCGATCTTCTTCGTTTTCTTCTTCTTCTTCTTCTTCTTCTTCTCCTCCAACCAGCCACGTGCCTCCTGTCCGTCTTTTTGGTGGAGTTTGTTCTCTTACCTTCCCTTCTACCGGTCCCTTTTCCTTCGGTTAACCATGGTCTGTCCCGGTTTTAACTCTGTCGTTTCCCGTTAATTTCCATACATGTCTATCTCCCTTTTTTTTCTTTTCTTTGTTTACTTCTACTACTTATCATTGTTTATTTACTTTCAAAATCCAGAGGATTATTCTTGAATTATTAAAGTTTTAAGTTTTAAAGATTATTTTTAGTTTAAAATTTTTCTTCAACAGTATCTATTCAAAGTACTTTTAATTTCCTAGGTTAGATAAGTTTAGTTATACATTTTTTATATATTTATTTATATTTTATATTTTTAACATTTATTTATATAATATTTATGTATGAATATTATTCATTAATTATTATTAGTATTATTTTACAGTTATTTTTACTATTTATTATTAATATTATTTACTATTAAAAATTGTTTATTCATTTATTTATTTCATTGTTATTTTTATTTTCAGATTACTACTAAACCATCTGAAGAGAAGAAAAAAATATTCTGTGAAGCTGCAAATCTTCTTATTGGTACTTGCAAACGGAGGAACGATTTAAAAACCTTTTTATTAAATATTCAGATATTTATGTTTATTACATTTTTATTATTTCTGCGATTAATATTGTTATTTATTAATTTTAAGTTACTGCTGTATTAAGAATTTGAAAATAAATAAAAATATTAAATATAAGTATATTATTGAGACAACCAGTGAAATTTTATTCAATCAAAATTAATGTTATTAAAAGAGTGTAAATTTTTTCTGGCATTATTCAGGATTTAAAATTGTATTATATATTATTACAATTAAAAAAAATTATTTTCATAACGCGGTGCAAAAAAGAGGCACTTTTTTAGCACGCCGTGCTGAAAAGTGCGTTTTTTTGCACCTTGTCATGAAAAGTATCGTTCGTAACTTGTGTTAATATTTGCGGATTTTTGAAAAAGTATTTTTTTTGGGACAAGCTCTACAGCTTGTATAAAACACTTTTTCAAAAATCTGCAAATATTAACACAAGTTACGAAATATACTATTTAAAAAATATTAACAAATTAATTGTTTTAAACATGTAGATGTATAAAATAAATCATAAAAAAGATTTTTAAATTAACCCAATATTTGAAAGCACCAATAATGAGAATTCCATTTTAAGAGAATCTTTTTTCTTTTTTTCGGATGGTTCTTAGTCACTTAATAAAGAGATCAACAACGAAATAAATAAACAAGCAATCAAATATATAATTGAATATAATCTTAATGTTTATTACTTTTTTTATTAAATGAAATTAAAGTAATAATAATAGTAATTATAACAAATATAGTAATTATATAAACATTTTTTAATAAATATACCGAAGCCATTGAGTTAAACAAAAAACATCTATGTATTATCAATATTATTATTTTTTTATACGATTTTTAAATTAATAACATTCATACAGAAATATTATTTAAATACAAAATGTAAAAATGTATTACATATAAATAAATATTATAAAATTATATATATATTAAACTTATCTAAACACATTTGGGGCTGTCTAGATAAAGCGGACGAACCCCTTCTGTTTCTATTTAATATTAATACTTTTAAATATTATTATTATATTTTATTAAAAATGCATCAAACGGAGAAAATAGGTTAATATTTTGTAATAAATTTAATGACGTCAAAATTATTAAATTTAATACAAAATAAAAAAATATTTAATTTAATAATTTTGACGTCATTAAATTTATTACAAAATATTCACCTATTTTTCTTCGACTAATGCATTTTTAATGAAATATAACAATGATATTTAAAAGTTATAATATTAAAAAGAAACAGAAGGGGTTTGTCCGCTTCAAGTAGAATGTCCCATTTACTAGAAATTTATAGTTTATTTTTTTGGGAAATTCATATGTAATTATTAAAAGTACTTTGATTAGATAATTTTAGGAAAAATTTAAAACTACAATCTTTAAAACTTAAGACTTTAATATTTCAAAAAAAAATCCTTTGCATTTTTCTAGTAAATAATTGATAAGTACTAGAAAGTTAACAAAGGAAAGAAAAAAAAGGAAATATATAGACATGCATGGAATTTAACAGGAAGTTAACAAGAGTTAAGTAAGGAACTTTACATGGTTAACTTTATGGAAAAGGGGGTGGTATCTGGGATAAGTAAATTGAGAAAAACTCACCAAAAATTCGGAACGTTGCTGGCACGTGGCTGATGGCGGACTAAATGGACGAAGACTCGACAAGTGTCGCGGGAGTTGCGCGCGACGCTGGAGGTGGTGGAACGGAGAACGCCGGACGTTGATTGGTTAATAATATTACTCTGCTACAAAAGTAGCGCGCGTCGATTTAGAGGACGCAGGAAGTTGATTGG